TGGTGAGAGAGTGAAATCTGTAAGTGGGAATGGACTTCATGAACAGTACATCATCACCACCATCATCATCATCTCTAGAATCAAATTCTCCCACTGATGATGGAAAATTATGAAGAATAGAAAAAAAAATAAAATTCTTCCAAACTAATCATTCTTTTCATGTGGAACTTTTTTTTCCCTTTTATTCTTCCATTCAATTTGAAATGTTCATGATGGAGGATAAAGATGATGATGATGTTGATGATAAAGGAAAAGAAATGGTCAGATTATTATCTTATTTTTATATTTTCTATTTTTCCCTCTTCCATTTTCATCTCACTCTCACTCTCACTCTCTCTCTCTCTCTCTTTCACTTCTTAATCTGATCCAATTCTACTGGACACAATTTCCGCTTTCAGTTTCAATATATTCAATTCCAGTTGCAATTGTAATAAATTGCAATTTATTACCACCAAGAGCTGAGAGCCGATTTTCCCACCTCCATGTTGAAGTTATTATCATCATTATAGTAAATCACAATTGTAATCATCGAGATAATAATTCAGTCTCATTGAGAAATAGAAAGACCAAAAAAAAGAAAAGGAAAATTTCAAATTCTAATCCATTCTTACATTTATACCAATGAAAGTGGCAATATTTTCCTGATTTGTTTCATATTATTCAAGGTGAGTGTATGATATTTTCCAGCTATTACCCACCCCAACCACTCACTATCATCTTTGTCATCATCATCTATTGTTATCATCATCATCATCATCATCTCCTTATCTTCAAATTTGAATTTAATGGTTATCATGAAGACTTTTTTTCTTCCTCTTCGTGAGTAAATAGTGGTTACAGTGATATTGTTGATATTTCCCACCCCACCCTCAGCATTTTCATTTCCAAACTGAATCAATAAATATTATCAACTTGATTATTACCAGAAAAACAAAACTTCAATAAATGGACTTAAATTTAAATTGCCAACAATTTAGCTTCAATCATGAACATTTTTCAAGATAATTTCAAAAATAATGTTTATTTTGTTTCTTTTCATGGTGATTAATTGAATTCAATTCATTGGTACTTACATATGTATCTAATCATGAACAATAGTGTAAAAGGTAAATTGATTGAATTGATTATTGAATAGGTAAAAGGGGAAAGAAAATGGCAAATAATTAACTAATTATCATGATGATTAATGATGATGATTGAATGTTTTTCTTGTTAGATATTATTATTATAATATTAGAGTTTAGTTTGTTCATGGTGTTGGTGAATGTGATATATATATTGAGAGGAAATGTTCAGAACAGAATCAATCAAATTGAATATACACCTTGAACTTTATCTCCTTTAATCAATATCATGGAATATAAATAAATCACCGACAATCAAACTGATTATATTCTGATTGTTGTTGTTGTTGTTTTTTTCTAGAAGGAAATGAAAATGGTGATTCCACCATGAGAAGAGATAGATTGAAATCGGAAATGTTCAAGTCACAGGGTGAGATATTATTACGATAACAGTTGATTGAGAAACAGTCCTCATGATAGATTATATTATCATTTGAACCCTCGAACTTGAACTTTGAACACTTATTAGAACTTGTGATGATCATCTTTCTTTCGATTTCCAAAGTTTCATGATAAATTTCTGAATAAATCAATGAACCTGAATCCATATTTTCTTACACATGGAACCTTAACTCATGGATACAAACAAAAGTTCAATTTCATTCAGGTTGACATTTCACCTTTTCTCCCTTTTAGATTATTATCATCATCATCATGGTGATCAACCGATAACCTTTTCATCCCAATTTGTTAGGAATTTTTCATCACCATGAAAAAAAAAAGTTCCAATTTCAGAATAACATCTCCATCATCATTCTCATGATAATACCACACTCACCATGGAAAACAAAAATATATATAAATATTTATACTCAAGTTAATCCACCGAGAAATAAGTTCTAGAAGATGATAATCTCAAAGATACACCATGAATAATAGTAGTCAATATAATCCCTTTGCCTTTAATCCTATCAGATTGCTTTTAACATGGTGAATATATTTCATATTTCAGGGTGAGATTGAAAAGTGTGTAATAATTGCACTTGAAAGATATAATCATTATTCAGAAAGTAAATTGTGACAGATTAATTTTTCGAGAACGATTAAAGTTTTAAAGTTATTGGGTAAAGTGAAAACTTAGATATATTTATGAATACATATGAACTTTTATCGATATTATTGTTGATAATTTTCCTTTGAAATGATTTTCTTTTTTTTTCGTTTATTTCTATTAGAACTGAAAATTGAATCATCATCATGATAATTGATCAATTGACTGAATGATTGAGAATGAATTAAATCAACTTAACTGTGTAAATCGTTTTCAGTGTAATAACTTGAGAGAAACTTTCATCTTCATCTTCATCTTCATCCTCATCATCATCATGAAGTTAAACAACTTCAAATGATATAACATTTATCATGGAAGAAGAAGGAAAAAAAAAAGTTCTGAAAACATGGAAACATTAAAAATGAAGATAAAGAAGAAGAAGAAAAAACTTTTCATCCATAATTATAGTTTCCAAGGTTCACTGAATTTCATCATGTTCACCATCTTCACCCCACCCCACCCTGAATCTTTCAGGGTGTTACTTGAAACTGGGCCAATGAAGGTGGAAGTGGGAGTGAGAAAAACAAAAAATTATCATTAGAACATAAAAAAAAAACTTTTTCTTTTATTGGAATAACTTTTTCTCTCTCTCTCTCTCTTTTCATGGATTAATGAGTTACCATGATCATGATCATCATCTTCATGATTATCATGAATTAACGATCAAGAGGAAGATTAAAATTACTTTATCTCTGTCAAATAAATTGCTCATGAATGATTAGTGTTAATTGTTAGCAGTTTGAAAATTGTAATAAAAATAAGTTGTGGCTCTTTCATTCAAGATTATATTGTCATCTGATTAATGATTTAAATTGATTGTTATCATTTTCATTCATTGTCAATTTAGGTCAATCGTATTAATATTTAACCAAATTATCAACTAATTATTCAAAAGTAATCATAATTGTCTTTCCTTTCATTAAACCAACCAGGAGTAAAATTAATTTAATCATCGCTGGGAAAAGTTAATTTTTTTATACTTCAATGGTTGTTAATCAAATTGTAGTTTTTGATTGTTCAATATTTTGTTTCCACGTTAATTTGATTGCTATTATAATTTAACAATTGTAATCATCATTTCAATTGGATTGTAATTGTTGAAATTGGGAAAAGATGTTGATTAAAGTTGATAACAATTAAATTTGATGATGATTATGGTTGAAGTTATTATGTTAATTGATTGATTTTATTGGCAATTGATTGTGACAAGTGAACATGATAAATTGTCAAGTTAATTGTTGATATGATAATAATTTATTGACCATAATTAAATTTTCAAACTGAATTAGATTTTGATTACATTAGTATTGTAATTAGATTTGACAAACAAAAAAAATTAAAACTCAACAATCAATAATTTCAAATGATTTTCATTTGATTGTATCAACCAATTAAAGCTCAAAATTAAGATGATTGTTATTGATTAAGTGATTAAATTGTTGTGGCAATTTAATACACATTTGTTGATCTTCATGCTGGTGGGGAAAAAAATCAATCTTTTCGGTTAATTAACTAATTATATCTTGATTAAACTCTATGAAATTTGAAATTAAACTTATTGATTAATCATCTCACTTTGATTGTTGATAATTAACTATAACAATCAAAGGATTTAGAAGGTTAATTAAATTTTGGTAGTATTAGTAATTTAAATTGAATGAAAAACAACCAATAGTAATGAGTTTTAAACGTCAATGACAATCAACTGATTTAGTTAATCACAGTTGAAAAACTCAAAATCAAAATGAAGCTAAATAGCCTGAGGCAGTTGAATTACCAATGAAATAAATTATTATTAAAAAAAATACACACAAAATTTTGACATTGATGATAATCAATTGTTACAGCAATCAAATCAGAAGCTAAAAAAATCAATCAACCCAATCACAGGCAGAATTAAATTGCAGAACAACAATCAAGTTAATCAAATCACATTCAAGTATAAGCAAATAGTAGTGATGCTAATCATAAGCGATAACGTTGATAATCATCATGAAAATATCATGAAATCAAGATGAGGAGATAAATGATTCTGATGAATTGTTTGATCTAGACCTTGTTATCTCTCAGTATCTTAATATTATCCTCTCTCTCTCTCTCTCTCTCTCTCTCATGAACTGTAATATCGCTGAGAGGTATTTCCAATAGTGAGATAATTCATCTAATAACATGATCATCATCATGAGAAAATATCATATTCCAATACAAAGAGAACTTCCATTATATCGAGAGAGAAGAAAATTTCTAATTCGAATAAAATTCTGACAGAACTTTTCTTCTTTTTCCCTAATTCCCGATTCTGTCTCTTTTTAGCTGAAAAACTAACAGTAACTGAGGTTGATGAAAATGATATTATAATACAAAAGATAGAATGAGAGAGAGAGAGAGAGAGAGAGAGAGAGAGTAAAAGATATTAAGCTTATGATGATGAGGAAGATGCTTTTTATCATCCCAAATGCCCCCAGGGAAAAGTTGACTTTCACTCCCTGGGAATGAATTCTGACAAAGGATAAGATAACAGTAGATATCGTTTTTTTTCACATTCACTTTGATGGATCAGTTTTTTTACTTCATCATTGAAACTTTTATCATCAACATCATGTTACCTTTTCAATATAATAGATGATTATTCAAATTCACAAATGACAATAACAACAACAACAATCAAATCTGATTAGCTTTCTATTTGTTAATCATTATCACTTCAGGTCATCAATTCATTAGAACCTCAAATTTGCTTCTCAAAAATGAACATTCATATTTTCGGGGTTAATTGTGATTCCATAATAATCTAAGCGTATTAAGTTTTCTAATTGTCATCTTACCTGGATTTAGATGCTGTAAATTGCTTGTATTCCTGTAACCATCAATGATTTGAAAGTAACCACCCAAACAATTAGTCCGATCGTAATTAACTTGTCCAACATTAAATTTAGTGAATCTAATGAACACAAGCCAATCTTTACGTTCTGGTTTAATCCTAATTGTGTAGATACAAGTAATTGGTTGACCACGATTAGAATCGGTCACTTTGGGCTCGGTGATTGTTTCGTAAACATCAACAGTCCGATTACACTTGGATCCTGAGCCTATTGAGAACAATTAATTAATCAATTAGTTAAAATCGAAACAATTTTCTTTCTCAATTCTCTAAGTAAATTGAATCTTCGATTGTACCTTTAATTAATTCTGATGCTGATTGTTGTTTTTTTTTCGTGATTTTAACATAACAATCTAATCAATATCATCAACTAATTGTAAACTATGATAAAAACTTAATTTTAATTAGCTAAGTTATTGTCACATGTTAGGAAATTGATTAAACTAATTGTTGTTTTTTCCCCTTCAGTAACTTTGAGACAAAAAAAAAGTTAATTGTATTTGATCAATGGGTAAACATAATTATAAAAAAAAGAGGCTAACAAATGATTTAATTAAATTACGATGATTAAAGTTTACCTTTGATTGTTATACACATCATGTTAACCTAAATTCTGATTACAATCAACTAATTGTAATCTGATACTTTCAATTATTATTATTTAACCTGAAAGGTTAAACCTTGTGTAACTATTATTTATTATTAGCAAGTAATTACAATTTATATTAATCAAAAAACTAAAGGTAATCTGATCATTTGATGATTTAATTGTAACAATTTAACTGATGATATTAAAGATTAACTCACTTTGCAAGGAAACAGTTAAATCCAGTGAGAAATTGATTATAATTGTGATGATGGTTAAATATGATTGTTGATTGAACATATTTAGCTAATTATTAATTGGTGGACACTTGATGGATTAGACAATTGGTCAGATGATAATCAACTAATTGTTGTTATGTAAATTAATCCATGTAACAAGTTGATATATATAATCAACAAGCAAACTATTAATTGTTGGTAAAAATTGACACTCAAGGAGCACACTTGTTGAAAGTTTTAATTGTTGACAATCAAGCTGATTGATATTAATACAAGTGAATTAAGGTGAGCATAAAAACAATACAATCAAATTGTAATTGAAGATTAAGAAAATCTCAGCTGATTAAAAGGGATTATCCTGTTGATTACAATGTGAGAGTGTCACATTGATTAAAGATGAGATTTGATTACTTAATCACAATTGATTATTGAATTGATTAGTTAATAGTTAAACATAGATAATAATTTGATAAAAAAATGCTCGATAAATCAGTTGATAGACTTGGGTGAGTTGGATAAGTTTGTAAGATGAACTAAACTCAATGTTGAATTGAAAGGTAACCTTATTGACTCCCTGGGAATTTCCCCCCTTATCATCATCTTCTCTTTCATTTTCTCTTTCTTTCATTTCTTCCCCCATATCCCTCGAATGTCCAATTTCCATGCGTCTTTTCATCTTCGATTTTCTCATCCTTATCATCCTTAGCATCGTGTTGTTATTGTTGATGTTGTCAGGGAGTGATGCTAATGGTTACCATGGAAACAGAACAAGAAACTTCAATGTTGGATGAAGAGAAGATGATGATAAACATCATCTCTTTCTTTCTTTCTTTCTTTCTTTCTATTGAGAAAAGAACATGTTTTCTCTGTTATCTTTAGATTTGATTTGATGAGTTCCATCCTCATCTTCACCTTTTCTCTCTCAGAATCTGTAATTTCATTCATGATAAAGAAGATGATAAAAAAAAAGTTCTGACCATTGGTCAGTATCCTTTTCTTTTCTCAAGATTATCATGTTATGTTACTAAATCATTTGTTTCTCCCTAAATATCCAATCATTAATTCAACTTAATCATAAGATTATCACCTTTCCAAAACTCTAGCCAACTAATCAACGATTGATTAGTTGAGAAACGGACAAAAAAGTTCATTGATTGTTGATCAGATTTTTTTTCCATCTCACATTAATCTGATTTGTTAATTGAATTGCAATTGATTTTCGCATTTATGATAATTAATCAAGTATTAGTAAAATGATTTACCAACAATTTATCATCATCATCATAATCATAGTTGTAAGTTGTAGTTATTAATATAATAGATGATTAGTTGATAACTGAAAGAAATTAATTGCTAATCTAATAATGGAAAGTAAATTAAATCTGATAAAAGCATATTAACAGTTAATCATAATTACTATTATCATCTTCTTGAAATTAAATTGAATCCTCTTAAAGATGATTAAGCTTAATGATGATGAGAATACGTGTAAATATATTTCAGTGATTAGATTTGATTCTCTCTTTTAATCATCTTAATCCATTTGGAATTAAATGTGATGAACAATGAAGAAAAAGAAGAAGAAGAAGAAAAAAATGATTCTTATTCTTGTTTTCTTTTAATCATTCTGTTAATAATTCTGTTGTTTTATTTTATTTTTTTTCTTCTTCCAAGATGAACAACATGATGAGAAGATGAATTTATCTGAAGAAACGGAAATTTCATGGAACCTAAACCAACAATTCTTTTTGATTATTGTTCCATTTGATTTCCTGAGATGAGAATTGTCTTTCCTTTAATGTAACTCAATATCCTTTTAGATCTCAATGAATTTATGGACTCATTTCCTGTGAAAACTTTTCTCCATCATCACAATTAACCAACAACTTGACAGAATTTCATCTCCATGACTATTGTTTCATTGATTAAAAATTCTAAAACATAATCACCCATTAGATTGGTAGACAATTTTCACTCAGTTTCGAACAACAAATCATCACAATTCCACTTTAAATACAAAGTTCTAATTCAGTTCTAATAATTATATCGAACTCGAAATGATAGTTGATTAGAATTCAAATCTTTCTCCTAACCATCTTTCGATTTTCTTTTCAAATTCAAGGTAAATGTTTCCAATAGCTGATTGATTGTTTGGGTTCTTTCATTTTTCTTTTAAATTGTTTCAACAAAAATTAAAAATTCTAATTAAAAGTTAATTCAACTTTAGAATTGGAAAAAGCGCCACTTGGTGGTTAGAATTGGAACTAAAAAAGGGTAACTCATTTTTCATCTAAACGGTTAACAATTAATTTTAATTTTCTTTTAAGTTTTTCTTGTTACTGATTGAATTTAACTTTATTTTTACTTAATTATTGATCGAGTGTACTGTTTGAATTTTATTGTGAACCTTTATTGTTGATAGAATTTAGAAAATCAATGAGAAAATTAATGGTCAAGATTCATCGTTTGGGTTGTGTTGATCTGCTTTTTTTGGTAGAATAAATTTTCTCATGTCTTAGTTATCGTTATTGGTCATTTTCAGGTAATTATTGTCTCTTTTTCTTTTGTCAATTTAACCTTTCGTGTGTCACATCTTCTCCATTGACCCTTTAATTGTGATTAAAATGAAAGAGAAGAGAAAAAAAACCAAAAGAAAAGGATCGAATCTAAATTGAGTAATAGGCTTCTTTTTTTCTTTTGTCTTTTTTTTTCTATTCTCTTTTGTGTATGTGACTTGTGACTTCTCCAAGATGGAAGCCATGTTTTCTTTCTTGGTACTTGTTAATTATGTTACTTTGTGTTGTCTTACCATCTAATTGATTTTGTTCTCTTCTTTTTTATTCTCATTAATTCTTTAGTGTTAATTAACATAATTTACAAGCTTCTGGCAAAACTGGTCAAGTTAATTTTTCTCTCTCAGGCCTGAGAGAGAATAAAAAAACTGTTTTGATCTTTTTTCAAGTGATGAGACAAACGGTAATCACATGAGGAGAGATACATCATAGGTACTCAAAAGAAAGGAAGCAGAAGAAGAAGATGAAAAAAGAACAGAATATAATTCTTTAACTGACAACAATTTAACCATTATTATCACTATCATCACAATCTTCATCTTCATCTTCATCTTCTTCATCATCATTACCATTATCATCTTCTCATGATCTAACATTAATTCTTACGCTTTTATTGTTTCTCCTTCTTTTTGCTCATTTTTATTCTTTTCTTGATTTCTTTCTTTATCTTTCTCTACTAAATGTTCGTTTACCTTTCTCTTCTTCTTCCTCCTTCTCACAGTTAATTCACAAGTTCTTAAAGATTCAAGGCACACCCAACGTCCAGTTCTTCAGACAATAATTGATTTCATTGGAGAACCAAACTAATCATCATTATTTCTCTTGAAATTGGTCAATTCATGGTTAAACAAGCTGCTAAATTTACACAGCCTTCTATTATTCATTCACTCATCAAATAATTTCCTCTTGACTCTTGACCATATCATCTTGGCTTCAAAACGAGAGAGAGAGAGAGAGAGAGAGAGAGAGAGAGAGAGAGTAAACAATCAACAACCATGTACACATACATTGGATAATTAAAACAATATTGTCATGATGATGAAAGAAAACAAAAGCCTCTACAAAAAAAGGAAGGATATGGAATCCACCCCACCCTCAATAACCATCATTCGAAGCCGTAAAATTTATCTCTATCATCAGCATCTTCATCTAATGTAAGTTTATTTTATTAATATTCTTTATTCATCTTTTTGATTATCCTTCTGTCATCATTCCCATCAGTCTTCTTATCATTGTCATCATCAAAATCATGTTCAACACAAAAGTTAACTTCCGCATCTCTTTTTCTCTCTCTCAAGATCAACACAAAAAGATGAACATCTTAACCTTCTAGATGTAATAACCAATTGAAATAGATTTTTTTTCACCTTCATCTTTTTCATCTCTCTCTCTCTCTCTCTATTGTAAATAACACTTAGACAAATCAAATTATTGTGTTGGTATATCATCGACATGCCGATAAATCATGTAAATTAATTCGATTCCCTTTTGTGTATATATTTAGCTGCAAGAGGAAATAATTTCCTCCTTTTTTTTATTCTTACCTTTACTACAACTAATCTAACTTATCATCTCTATCTTTCTTTGTATATTTTTCATGATCTTTAGGAAACATAATCAATTATTTATCTAGTTAACTGTATTGTAGTTATTTATTGCACCTTGTTGTATTTTCTTGTGTGTGTATGTGTGTATGTGTGTGGTTTGTGTTGATCCTCTCATCTGGTTTTATTAATGTATCTTGTTGATTCCTTTTTGCTTGATTGTCTTTTTGTTTCCTTCTCCTCGTTTTTTGATTGTTGAGATAGAGATAATAATTTAACCTTCTTTTTTTCCCCTTAATTGATACATTAAAGATTGAAGAAGACACAAAGTTACCATTATCATGGGGACAAATAAACACACACAATAACAGAGTAACTGGTAAACAAATGGAAATGGAAATGGAAATGATTGAGAAAAACAACGAGAAATAAGGGAGAATAAGGTAAGAAGAATATGATGATTAATGTTAATTGTGATTAAACCTCCAGGTCAATTGTTTTCTTAATCCAATCAAGGTGAGGTCGAATACGAGTGTAAACACCGGGTTGTTTAGGGCATCCACAGCAAGGTAAACCATACGAAGCAACACCAACAACAACCCATTTATTTTGGGTATTTATCATAATTGGTCCACCACTATCACCCTACAGTAGGTAAGGGAAAAAAAGAATTCTCTCATTAATTAAAAGTAATTAACACGAAAAGAGAACAAGAAAAAAAAAATATATTACAGGGAGAGAGAAAAAAATCTCTCATATAAATAATCTAAACATGTGAAAGAATCTTAGCTTTCACAGAAAGTATAGAAATAACTAGTGATCCATTACAACTTAATTTAGATTAATTAAAGAAAAAACTGTATCCATTAATCAACACTAATTAAGGTTAATTAATATTGTTTATTAATTCATTTACACTTCTTATTAAAGTGTTGATACTTTTTCCCGCTTAACCGTTACCTCTACTAGCGACATCTATTTTCCTTCAATTGTACTAATCAATCGTAATTAAACTAATCAAGATCTTAATTGTTGATTTTGTTTCTTTTTTCTATTAGATTGGATAACTTGTAATACTATATTTTGTTTACTATCAATTGGATAATTTTGTAAGTTTGTCCTTGAAACTTTTCTGTTGTTTTAAGATAAATATTGTCTTGTGATTTTGAGAGATGTCAATTTCTCTCTCTCTCTCTCTCTCTCTTGTTTATACTGTTTGTAGTTAAAATTGATTGTTTTTTTATATTTTTCTTTGTTATTTACCTTGCAGGTATCGGTTCCACCTTCTTCATAACCTGCACACATGAGGGAGTCTGGAAAATTACTGATCTTCAACCAATCTGAACAAGTTGGATTTGAAAGTAACGGAATTTGAGCCTCTTTAAGTACATATGGATTACCAGTTGATTGAGCATCGCCCCAGCCCACTATTGTTAATAAGTCTCCTTCTTTAATCTTTGGCTGTTCATCTGGTAAACATATTGGTGAAACCCATGAATCATCTAGAGAAACCGGAGCATTTAACTTAACTAAGGCTAAATCTCCCGTTTTTGTAGCTCGATCAAAGTTCGGATGCAAAATAACTTCCACGGGATAACGAGTAATCTCCTTCTCATCTCTAATTAAGCTTCGATGTTTACCTAAAGCAATCGTCCAGGCTGAAGGGTTACCATCGGAAAGGAAACAATGTGCTGCCGTTAACACCCATTGATCAGAAACCAACGAACCACCACAATAATGACCAGTTGGTTCATTTCGAATATACCTCAGAGAAACCATCCATGGCCAGGAATTAGGAATCGCACTGTCGCCAGAAACGATTGTTAAAAGAAAAGGTGAAAAAACATTGGTACTCACTACCGGTCGAACTCCACAAAATGAACAATTATAACGTTCATGTGGACAATTAGCCTCATCGCTACCATCTCTACATTGATCTTTACCGTCACATAATTGATCTTTAGGTACACAGTTCTCTGCATTTTTACACCTGAATTCATCTGAATCACATCGGGCTGGTGTCTTTAAATGTTCAAAGTACATTTTGAAACCTTTATATTGTGGAACTACACCCGCAGGCCGTTTACCCGTGATGAATCTAATATGAAGCTTATTAGAAGTTGTTCGAAAATTTCGATAATTGGACCCGGCGATTGGATTGGAACCCGTGAAAGTATCAATCAAATCTGCTGAACCAGTTTCTCCATCAAAAAATTGGATCTTTGTATCACCTTCGTAATTGTCAAGATCAAGACGAATCATTTTAATTGAGATGACATAATTTTCGGGAGCCAATAAAGTCCAAGAGCAATCAGAATTTTCCGGATATGAGTAGAGTCCACTTTCGGCATATTCTGGAGAAACCAGATAACCATAAGGTTTCGAGATAAAAGCTGGCCTTTTAAATGGTTTACACGCTGCGCTATCATCTATCATTGGAATACAGCCTAAAATCAAGGAGAAAAAATCAAAACAACAATTAAATAATATTCTCGCAATGACAATTTGAATTGTCTCCTTTTCTGTATATTAAAAATATATATGGAAATTTTCACCAATACCATAACCTAATTAGGTCAACACCCTAGAAATAAGTACAAAGTTCATCGAGAACATTAAATAAGTGATAAAATTGTATTATAAACTAATTGTTTGTATGATTCTTTTGCTGATAATCAACTAATCTCAACCTAAATTGTATCTGATTGGAACCGTAAAGGAAAAACAACATTGATTAGTTTTCTTTCTGTTTCATCAACACATGAGTTTCCCTTGAATTAATATGTTTTCATGGTTCTCACATGAAAACCTGATGGAAATGTTCACATGATTGAAAGAAGATCCTTAAAGAACAATTTAAAAACAATGATTGATTTGTAACGAAATTCAAAGTAATTTAGCTGTAAATTGGCGCAAAATGGATGAAATTCAGAAAATCTCATGCTACTGTTGATCAACTAATTCGCCAACAATTAGATTAGTTGAAGAATGGGAAATTAAAATTGAAATTACCTTCCATCTCTCCCGTTGATACCAATGTTATGGTCGAGGAAATTAAAAAGCCGAAGGAAACAATTAACAAACGAAACATGATCACAATTCAATGAGACTGTTAAATAGTCAAAATTACCACAAATTTGATTTGAATCCCGTTAATTGGATTAATACAAAAGGTCAAGAAAACAAATGAGATCAGTTGACCAGAGGAATTAAAAAAACTCAATCAATAGTAAATTTCACATTCGATGAACAAGAAAAAAGTAATTCAAACTGAACAATTTAGCCCAAATGGATGACAATTAATTACGTTCAAGATGATGACTCGAAATGACGATTAACAGTTAATTTAATTGTAACCATATTGCTGATTGGAAAGGGAATCAAAGTCACACCACTTAAACTGTACCACGAAGTTAATTGTTAAAGGTAAAATCCATAGTAAAGATGAATGAAAATGAAACAATAACAATTAATATGATTAATTATCAACAATTAATCAAAACACAAGAAAAACGTAAATCAAGATTATCGATTAACGTGAAAAAAATAACAACATATTATTAACACAGTGAAACAATTTAGTAGATTTTTGGTTAATTGTAAATATTAGACTTTTTTTTGGGTTGTTAATTGTTTGTTAATTAAATCATCATTTGATTCACATTGACAATGAAGTGACAGTGAGACTGGGTAATAATAATACAATACAAAGAGGGAGTAAACTTAATTAATGAGAAAACAATTAACTGATCAGTCATTCCTACTGATTTGCCTTTTGATTGTTATCATCGTCATCATGTAGTTAGTTAATTGTGAACATCCCACCCAAATACTATTAGTTACCTTTTTATTTAATCAACAAATATGATCAACAAAAAAATTGATAATTTAGTTTAATGATTCAACTATTTTCAGCTTAATCATTTCACACAATCAAATTGTTAACAATCAAAAAGTGAAAACGTAATTGTAATTAAATTAATAACAATCCGAATGTCCAAATTGATTGTTTTTCACCACCAAATTGTTGATTGTTGATTGTTAATTGTTCAATTGTCTTTCATATGATTAATAAATTGTTGTTATAAAACTTTAAAGGTTAATTTTTCATAATCAATGTGATTCAATTGATTCAATTTAATCAAATTAAATATTAAATAATCAAAGTATAAAAATGATGACGATGAAAAATACTGATTGTGATGATCAATATTTAATTGTGATTGATTTTAATTGACATAAAGTTGATTGAACTGTCCTATTATCTTTATGTTGTTGATTAATTAATTCATTTTCACAGACTTTCATTGTCTGGGTTGACAATTTAATTCAATTGTCATCCAACAATTAACTGAATTGTTTGTAACTCATTAAATTTCTCTCATTATGTAACAATTTAATTCTGTTCAAACGTAACAATTAACTCTAATCAAGGACTAGGTCAAATACTAATTTTTGTTTACCAATAAAATTGATCATCTCTTTTAATTGTAATTATCGTTTTTTTGTTTAATTATTATTACGGACAGAAAATTATCATTAATACATTAATAATGTATATTAGTTTTACAATTAAGGTGTTTGGAAATTGAGAGAGAAAACTAAATTTAAATTTAAATTACTTGTTCATCTTTGCTTTTTTTTGGTTGATAAATAAATATAAACTTGGACTAGAGCAAATTTTGTAGGCAATTTTTGTTGTTGATCGATGGAGAGAGTTAATTGTGATGATTAACTTAATTATTGGGATGTAACTATTGGTTTTTTCTTTTCTTTGATTCGTTTGGTTTCTGGTTTCCTTTTTCTTGTTCTGGTTCTCTGTTTTGGTCCATATTCTTGATGTTAACTGTTAATTCAATATCAGGTGGGACGAGGCTTAATCCATGTCACATGAGTGGTGAAGTGTTTACAATTAAGTTAATTGTGATCAGAGGAGGTAAGAGTTTGAGGAGTGACTCATAGTCATTGAATAACAGGTTAATTATGAAGTTTTAAGAGGAGAGAGAGAGAGAGAGGGAGAGGGAGAGGGAGAGGGAGAGGTGGGAGAGTAATTCAATTGTTATTATGATCAATTTAGGATGGAGATTGAAGGCGGAAAAGGAAAGGATAACTTTTCATGGAAAATGTTAATTTTACAATGGAAAATAAAATTGCATGTATCTTTTTAGTCTTGGATTTTTCCAACTAATCCATAAATAGTATTATTTCTTGTAGGCTTTTGGAGTATCATAGTGGAAGGTCATTGCTGCCCAATTGTATTACAATAACAACAAATAATAATTTATAATCACACGGGAAGGATTGCCAAATCTGGTTATTTGTAAATTGTTGAACCTTTCAAATCGAGTTGATCTTTTCTTCACAATTTGGATAATAAATTTGGCAGTAAGTAGGAATCTAGAGTGACCATTGGAAGAGCTGGAAATGTTTTCCTTTGTCTTTGTAAGCAGAAAGATGGATAAAAGGTGGACAACCATTTAGATTTAGGTTGGTGATAGATGATTTTGATGACAATGATGAAGTTGATTCCAAATTATTGTTATATAATCCATGATTACCAAGCATGGCTTTTATCCGGTCCAGATCACAACCTTTTTTTTTAAATTGATTGAGAAATTATCACCAACTCTTTTTTTTTGGGAATAATGTTGGGATTTGTTGACTGTTCAATTATTAATCAATTTCCGGAATTAATAGATTAATGAATCAATACATGTATTCATAATGGAAAACTTTCAGCTTGGAAAGACAATTGATGAGTATGATGATGATGATGATGATGGTGAGAAAGTAAAAGGAGGCGAAAGGAAATGAAAATTTCAAATTGGGATTAACTGTGTTGCCAAGATGAATGAATAATGATGAAAATTCAGATGATTTGGATGATGAGGAATCACTAAGGTTTCAATTATTGTGCTTGTTAATCTTATCATCATCATGCTCATCATCATAATCCTCTGGCAAAACTATAATGATAATAAAAATGGTTCTGGTGACATCACTTAATCATTTGTCTGTTTGTTTGTTTTGTCCATATTGTTTTCCCATCAAAGTCCAATACAATCAATGTGAACACATGATAATCTAGTGACGATAGATTTGTTTTCTTATTTTGAGGTTTGGTTGATGAAGAGATTTAGAATAATAGAAATCATGGTTTGCTGCTTAAGTTGCTGATTATATAGATTAGTTAATTTAATTTGTACTGGTTGATTGTGACAGTTAAACGTTAACCGGCGATGTGTTGGTCAATGGAACAGTAGCTTCGTGAGTGTAAGTTAATAAACTGGCCTTTGATCGCCTCGAACGACATTTGACAATAGTAACAACGAAAATGACCAAAACTACAACCAATAGAACCATTAAACTAATTGGAATAACAAAATCTGTAAGAAAAAAGAGAGAAAAAATATAAATTATTAATTTAAATTGATTTTTGATTAATGGTTGTGTTAGTAACAAGATAATCAGGGTTTAGGAAAACAATTAGATTAGTTTGAAGTCTCAAAAAAAGAAAATTATTAGGGATTAATGATTTAATCATTGATTATAATTAGCGAAAACCAGTTCAGGTTAGAAATGTTTCCTTTGACCAGGTCGTTGATTGTTTCGTTATTATTACATTATTCATAATTGTTGGAATTGTTTTCATTACAATTTATTATGATAAGTGTGTGAAAACATGGGTTCTCATCAGAGTAATTAATCATATTAATAAATTAATGATAATAAGTGAATTTAAGTTTATAATCAAAAGGCTTGGAGAGGAAATTGGATTATTAGTTAAATAACAAGTCGATATCGAGGATTGTTTTTCCTCTTGTCAAGGTTAGGGTATATAAAATTTATAATCGCTAGAGAAATGATTAATAGTGATTATGTTTGCTTCCAACTAACTACTAGTTAACGTTCAATTTAATCCTTGTTATTATTTTGTTTTCCTTCACTATTAATCATTATATTAAAACAAAATGGAAAGTAATAAAATTAGAAAATATTAATAGTTTCAATGATTAAAATAATTTAGTAACAATCAACATCCAATATCAAATGAAGTAACTTTTTAAAATGGAGATTAAGGTTCACCAAATTGAAATGAGTTGAAAAATAGTGGACAGAGTTAATTGTTTTGGATTAACTTACCAGAAAACAAAGCTTTTTCATTTCTATCAATGGGTTTGGTTAATTGATGCCTTGAAGGGTAATTCATTGAGATATTGTTATCAATGTCACCATCAATTGAGGCTACTGATGATTCTGGTGAAACGTCAGGGGAATCAATGTCAGCGATTTCTGGTTGTTGAAAAGAAGATTAGAAAAAAAAAGTAACATAAATTTAGATTAATTGAAATTTTTTGATTCTTGTAATAGCAATTAATTGTTTACTTACTGACACATGAGCTGACAATTCCATCCCAATTATTCCTAAGGCAATTTAGATACTTTTTGGACTCCCTTGTATCTTTAAAGATATAACCTTCACAACAACTCATAACGGCTGAGCTTTCATTTTGTTCAACAATGTGACCTTTAAATGGATCTGGTAACTTTGGACAACCATTAACTGTTAATTACAATTGAGATTTGGATTTAACAAAAAAAAAGAAAGGTAAAGATTAATGATAAGTCAAATGGACTGGGTTGGTGACATTATTTACCTTGATATCTAACTAGCCAACCTCGGGTTGCTCGGAATTCATTTTGTATGAAGGATAATCGGACTGTTGAACTTTTGGTTTGGAAAGTTTTTAAATTTGTCACCTCATCCCCACAAAGATCTTCCGATTTTTGGTCAGTTTCAACAATCAATTTGTCGGTACATTCATATACAGCAGGGTCGAGGAATGTTTTCTGTTTAACTACTCGAGGATTTGTTATTTGCATATCCAAAACTTGTAATTCAATAGTTTGACCCTCAGTAGCTTCAATTGTCCAGTTACACTCATCTAGTTTGGCTGAATAATCAGGATAAGTAGGTGATGAAATATAACCATAGGATTGATTCAATCGACTGTTACAGTAATGATGTAATGCACGTGATGCTAAAAGTGGACACAGGTCAATGGAAGAAAAATAAAAGATATTAATAAATAAAACAAGATACAAATAAATTTCATGTATAAGATTACAATTTGTGGTCTACTTTAACTGTAGAAATACAGTTCGTCAATTGTTTACAGTTGACAAACATGGACCCTAATGATTAATGGTCAGCTAAACAAATCTTGCCATTATTTTCAATATCATCGAAAGAAAATTAATTTCAACACAATCAATAAACCAGAAACAATATTAACACAATCAAATATCGGAGGGAAAAAAATAACAAGTATTATTATTGAAAATATGAATAAATATATTTGATGATGATGATAACCTAACAATATAATAAGTGTATTAGTTTGAGTGATGCCTATTGATGCAGAGAGAAATTTAAATTGCTAGTTAATGGTCAATTGTTGGTTGTGAATAATTTACATGTTAAACAGATGGTTAAAGTTGATTATTAAATTGCCAAAGTAATAAAGCTATTGGATAATCAGTAAATTAATAAATTATTATTAAATCATTTCTTTCATAAAAGAAAAGCCTTAATCATAATAACTTATTTACAAAGAGTCTCAAATTTTACTCTACTGTCAATGTGTTTCTGTGTGTGTTTACCTCTATTGTTTATGATCATCAAATGAATATTTTATTATTATTGGTAATCTATTGATAACAACATATGATATTCATATATAAGTGTTATTTTTACCTCCCTCTTCATCCTCCTCTCGTACTCTACCATCATCATCATACCCTCTCTCCCGCAAAGTTTTACCCTAAATTGGATTTGAGTGTGGGGATTTCGAGCTATTGTATTACCAATAAATGGTAGATGAGTTTAGATCTGTTTCTAAATAAATTATTGAGGCTACTTTTTGATTGTAATATAATTGCGATATCTATTATTATCGAGGTTTTTTTTATATTCAAAAGTTTTGGATTACTTAATCTACTCTCGATTGTTAACACACTCGATGAGTTAATAAGTTTCCAATGGTTAACCGTAACAAATTTAATCCATTTGTTTGGTACTTATTATCTTATTCGATTCACTTTCTTTAGGTACTCATTGTGGTGTCAATCAGTAACAAAGAGAGAGAGAGAGAGAAACACTCACTCTATGGGGTAATAGATAACAGTATAATACATATTCTCAAAAGAATCATTGAAATAACAAATATAATAATGAGAAAAGTTTATAAAAGTTTTTCCCTTTATAAATAAAGTTTTCATAAAAGTTTCAGAATCATTTCCTCTTTGTTAGGTAAACAAATTGCAAGCAAATTGATGCAATGATTTTTTACTCATTCAATTATGATTGAGGAAATATTAAAACGTCAATTGTATAATAATTATATAGATATTAATATAATACATGATCAATTGGAATCTAATTTTTTTTTTCTTCTTCTTTTTCTGAGTTGGAAGGTATTTGGGATAATAGATGGAGCTTCATGTTTCAATAGATTAATACAATAAATTTCTATTTATTGTACCGATCAGATCAAGAAAAACTGACCAGTCAAATTGGTTAAAGCTTAAACCAAATCAAAGGTTATTGTGTAAATAGAGTTTATATGAGGTCAACTGTCAAAATTTTACAAAATGATTACTTACTATTGATACATGAATATTTCATCATTATATGACCAGATCCAGAGCATTGATGTACCATTTCTGATTGATGGAAGGTACAATTTCTAGATGTCATACATCTAAAGGAACAGTGAATAATAGAGAAGATGAAAAAGAAGATGAAGAAGAGGAGAAAGAAAGAGAGAAGAGAGAATTAGAAAACAAATAATAGGCAATGTCAATGATAAGAAATACACACATTAAGATGTGTGTCTTGTTTTTCTTTACCCACGTAAAGTTGTTACATGGAAATAGACAATTAACTTGATAATAAAATAGGACAAGGGTGAGAATTGTGATAATTACCTGGCAATGGTTGAAGGTCTTATATCTTCATAGCAATCATGGTGAACGGATGAAGATGCTACGGTTCGGTGAAGATAATTATTTTCACCACAGTGAGGATTTGATTCTAAAGATGTTGAAAAATAAGCTTCTCTAATAATAAGTTTCATTTCCTCGGGACATAAGATTGATATCTTTTCCTCTGGTACAGGTTTACAAATTGTCTCGTTAATTTCATCTTTTTCTTTAATGATGTGGGTGAATGGATGAATGGGTGGAAAGAGAAAAAGAAAAGAAAAAATTATTGCTACTTGAATGTTGAACAAGAACATCATCATCATCCTTTTCTTTTTTTTCTTTTACTGATGAATTTTGAAACAATACAAACACAAAACTGTTCAAAGTATTGGAACTTAACAAACACAAGAAGAGAAAATATTAAATGATGAACAAAACTTATTCAAGGTTCATCTTTAAGTATTTTTATCAGTAAACAATTAAACAGCTCATACAATCAAGTAAACAATTAACTAAGAATTAAAACTTTGATGTCAATCTAACTTGAAACACTGAAAAGAAATGAAGAGAAAAATAATAAACACTCAAGTTTAGAATAGAAAAAACGAAAATCGGTTGTGCGCATATTCTCGCGCATGCGCACAACTGATTTTCGTTTTTTCTATTCTCTCAAAACAATGAGTCACCACCTACTGAATTTCTCTTTCTTTTACTTACTTTTTATTTCTCTCTTTCTTTTTTTCTCTTTCTTTTTGACATGATAAACTTCAAGTTAGATTATTAGTTTTTGTTGTTGTTTCATTTTCTTTTTCAATTAAATTTTATTAATTTATTAGAGAAATTAAAGAGAAGAAGATGAATTAATCTTGTTAAGTGAAATTCTCATTCATTGGAAAACTGAGATCATTTCAATGGACTCAAATTGTAATCGAAACTTTTCTCGATCAGCTGGAAGATCGTCGGGAGGTTAACAGGATGTCAGAGAATAAGTGTCATCAATTGTGACATTTGGTTCGAAATTCATATTGTACATTTGTCTTCGAATAACAGAAAACTCGAATAAAACAATGAAAGAAAAAGAAAACGTACTATTGGTATGTTTGTCTTTCGACGAGAGAATTTCGAAAAACTTTCGAATCGTGACCTTGGAATATAATAGAATAAATATTCTCTTGTCATGTTATTTCCATCAACGAATAGATGATTAGATCGATCTGTTCAAGGAAAATTGGATTGGAAGAAATTTTCTAAATTAGAAACGATCAAAACTGTTTAATTGTCTTTAACACAATTTCAAGCTTAATAACAATCTTTGTTTTCGTTTGTAACAATTTACAACTTTAAACAATTAAATTAATTTCTCCGATCATTTTGGTTGGAATGATGAAGTACATTGTATTTCCATATTTAACTGATTTACTTTGTTTCTTTATATAAGTTGACACTAATTGCTGGTGAATAATTAACAATCTATTTCCATTGGTGATCTGGTCCATTTTTAAGCCAAAATTTAATTGTTGTTGTTGTTTCTCACTCCCTATGGACCAATAATGTTAGAAACATGAAATTTCTGGTGATTTCTTATCCTCTCTTGTTGAAGGCCCTTAGGCAAAGGATTTTTGCAATTCAATCATCATCAAAAAAAGTTACAATCAGAGATTGTAATATATATATTATGGTGGAGTAATTGTTTGTAAACGACTAGGAAGAGAGAGAGAGAGAGAGAAATGAAATCAGAATCTAAAAGATTCACAAATCTCAACGATAATAATAGTAGTGCAATTGAGAGATTAAGGAAATTGAATCTCGTCAAGAAGGAAAAATAAAACGCACGCCAACAGTATTTACTACGTGGTGATGAGATTATAATTGATTAAAGATGATAAAAATTTGAATGATAATGATGGTGATTAATATGGAATCTGATTTTGATAATATTGAATCATATCATATGTTTTGGTCCGGAAGTTAAGGAAAGAATCTCGAATTATTTTTAACATGTAAGCTGCCGCCTCTTTTTCACTTGTATTGGGTGAGAATCGTGCTCGTAATTGTTTAATTGTTTGCCCTCGAAAACAGGGTAACCCAGTGTCCAGCATAAGGGAAACCAATGAAACAATCGCCTCACTGTAGGGACGGACTGCAAGGTAAGCTTGAACGCAAAGATCCATAAACCACCGGAATGTTGGTGTTTCCATTTTTCCTCCCATTACCATGACCATTTCATCAGTTAATTTAATATCAGGTTCGAATCCTAAATTACCTCCAGGGGAACTTTCAAACATGAAACCAAAATCTAAAGAAACAAAGATCAACACATAAAATGATGATGATGATTAAAACTTTTATTGTAATGATTAATTACCAATGTGAATAATGTGTCCATCTTTGTCAATCATAATGTTTCCATTGTGTCGATCTTTGATTTGTAATAGAAAACCGATAACACTATAAGCAGCCATACTTTTGACGAAATTACGTCGAGCCTCTTGGAATTGTTTAGTTCCCTCGTCTCCATAGGTTTTAAGAAAATAATCGTACAAAGAAATGTCCGTTTCTCGTCCTAATTGATCTCGAGATTTGGCATCGGGAACACACTCAATAACACCACACTAGATGAAAGAAAGTTAATAAATAATAAAATCAATTGTATGTCATTTTCTTTGAAATCGTTTGTATCGCTTGTAACTTACTCCTGGTGAAGTGGCAACGACTTGATAACGAAATAGAAACAAATCTAGGCCACATTTGAGGAATATGTTTTTAAATATTCCGATAATTTGAAGGGCTAACATATCTTGTCTAACATCATCTCCAACCTTGAAAATGGCCGCTTGCCAAAGTTCAGTTCTAAGGTTAACTTGAGAAATTTCCTCGACTTTCATAAGGCCAAGTTTCTCAACTTCACTTATACCACAACGGGCAACCTTAAATCGAGCAAGGAAAGGCGCTTTTGCTGCACTTTGAAGAGGAACACCCGAATCAGAATCAATATCTAATACAAGAGATTCAAAGTTGGACGGAAGATAACAGCCTGGTTGAACCTCGATTCGTTTAAGTGCTTTGAGAAGAGCGTTTTTCCTTTCCTTTCCCTTAGGATATTGCCTTATGTCCCCTGAGATGGAAGTGATTTTACCGAAAAAGTCAAATTCCCGTTCGTAAAAAGCTTTAGCCGGACCAGAAAGTGAATTGATGATACAAGTGATAATATGGTCAAGAGCATCATGTAAATCGGCTGAAAGAAAAATAGACAAAAAAGTCAAATCCAAATGAACAATGAGATCTTGTTGAAACCCGGAAGGAAATAGATTTAATTTATAACCTCGATTAATTTCAATTTAAATTTTGATATGATACGTACGATCTTGAACTTGAGAGTCCTCATCACGATACATATTAGTCTTCATATTCCAGATCAACTGATGAGCTAATAACTGTGAACGGGAAGCAGCGTTTTTGATAAACTCTGAAACATAACCCATCTGAGAACAACAACAATAAAAGACAATTAATAATTAAATTAACAGTTAATTGTGATTATGATGGACACAATAAATTTACACAAAATTTAATTGCAACATCAAAATTTTAAACTTACACTGTCATAACGAACGGCTTGAACTAATTGCGGAATATAAAATAAGATTACTTCCTGTTAAGAATTGTAATAAACAAAAAAAGAAACGCAATTAGAAAGTGTGTAATAATAATTAGCACGAGATGAAATAGCGAGGGAAACTAATCAAATTAGTGAGAAAATTAATTAAGAAAATGAAACGATTAATTACCGGTGCATATGAAGATAACATTCTAACAGCATATTGAGCTGTAATCGGATGTGGTGGATATTGACGGGAGAAAAAGGATAAGGCCTGAATTGGTGAGATACGAGCCCAGGTCAGCATGTGAGTGATCTGTAAATGATTGGGAAATTTAATGATGAGAGAAATTAGTTGAGAGAATTTTTGTTTTTCGTTTAGAATTTGTATTTTAATCACCTCAGGCAATTCGACGAGAATCGAATCAGAATTGACCAAATATTGAAGAGCATCGGGAATATGACAAACCGAAAGTGGGTACATTCGTACCAAACGAGATACTTCATTTTTTAGAGCTTCCGAGCTTTTGAATCTTTTTTGAAAATAGAAAAGAAAAAGAAAATTTTTAATTAGAATTATAACCAAATTGTTGTTAATTAATTTTTGATTAGATTATTACCTGCAAGGTAAGAAAACTGCTAATGAAGGTGATATTTCCCAAGCTAATCGAGCTGTTTCTTTCCATTGACGTTCATTGAATTGTTGCTCTCTCCAAGTGGCGATATTTTCTTGACCTGGTATATTGGCCTCCGCTAGAGCCATTGGATTATGCCAAGTTAACAGGAATTCAATTTCAACGGCCAAAAGTCCCAGGATAAGATTACGTTTACGAACGTAATCTTTGACGAAAAAATCGGCTGGAAGTGTATTCAATTTCTTGGCTGATTGGGAGCTTCGTATTCCCGATGATCGTTTTGATATTGTGGACATGTTACTACTTAATGGAACAGTGTTTATCCATCCTGTTGGTGTCACTCGAGCGGGATTGAATTCGGCACTTCCAGTAAGTGAAGGTTGATTGTAGGAGGATAAGAGAGCGGCTGATTGACTGACCGTGTCACTGAAATTATCGTTTATAAAGGCCGCTTTTAGATACTTTTTTTCGGAGAGAAGTGTTTGCCAGAATTTAATCAATGAGACAATATCTTCACGAAGTTCATTTCCTTTTTGGGTTGGACACATTTGAGCAGAGCTAAGATAATAAATAACCAAAATAGATCATTTTAAATGATGGAAATTTCAAATTGGATCAATTGACTTACCAGAAATAATCAATCGAAGCTGAATAGATTCTTTCTCTTAAAACACTTTTACTTATGGATCGAGGTAACGCTTCCCCTTGGACCAACGAAAGGCCAGAATTTAATAGACGAAATCGTGTTCCAACCGTTGCAATATGACGAGAGTTTCCTTCAACTTTACCGACCATTATTGAAAGTGATCGATGTAACATATTGGCGAAAAGTTCAACCTGATCAAGACTAGAATATTTAACAATTTCAATTCTTTCGATTAAAAATTTAACCCATTGACTGTGAGATCCAAGGTAAGGTGGACAAGGTTGAAATGAAATATTTTCCTCTGGAGCAAGTGGATCAAATTGAATTGGATCGGGTGAAAATAAGCCCATTTTACGGTCAACGGTCGCATTCCAAGCAGCGACAATATCTTGCATAAACTAAACAATCAACAATAAATCGATAAATTTGTATAAGTAAAACTTTTCGAGGAGAAAAAGTTGATTGGATTAATTGTTCTTACCTGAAGTTCAAGGTCAGGTCGAGCGGAAAGACTCCACTTCCAACAAGAGATGATACAATCAATTGTTTCATGAGAAAAAAAATAAACCGGAGCCCAGGCCAACGAATGAATTAATCGTCTATCAGAGTCACGAGTAGCAATTAACATGGCCGCAATTTTATAGGCACAATCACGATGACCAGTAACATCTTTCTCTTGACAGGTAACATTAAATTTGGCTAAAAGGTTGTTAATTATTTCTTCAGGATCTTGACCAATTGAAATCATCCCATCAACCTCACCAATATAATGAGATCTCAATGACATTGTGGCCACAAACTCGGAGCAAATATTTTTCACACAATTAGGCCAACGGTCAAGGGTTGTAGTTGATATAGAAGATGAGATCGAGTTAACACCAGAATAACGGATTATACTTTCAGCGGCAAGTGAAAGTCCAGAATGTTGGATTAATCCAGAAATACAATGCTGATGGTTTGAAAGATAATCTTCAAGATGAGATCGAGTTGTGTTCGGTGCCCATTTCATTGCTTCTTGAATAATTTCCGCTGAACGAGCGGCAAAATCTCTGACAATACTCTGAGAGAAAATAGCAAGAAGATAAAAGAAAAACAATTAACTAATTAATCACCAGAGACAATCAATAGATTAACAGTTAACTTACCTCTTTTGATTCTGTACTATCGGTAACTTGAATTTTAAAATTACTATTGGGAATATCTAGTTCGGGATTTTCTTCATTAGAATCAAGAGTTAACGATTTTCCTAGAACATTGAGAATGTCCAACATTGTGGTCAACACTTTACTTGACCAAAGAAGATGAGGAAACTTATCGACCAAACCGGAAAGATATTTATCAGCAACTCGACGAATTTGTTTTTGCCGATGATTAAATTTGACTAGAAATATAATTGCATATTCTTCAAGTTCAGCATCTCTCTCCTTGTCCCGAGGCTAGAAGATCAATCAACATATATTAATTAGTGCATCATTAATACAATTAGAAGATCATTTTTTTCTTCGTTAGTAAATAGTCACCTTATTAGAGACAATTTCGAGGAAAACTCGAAAAACTTTATCGGAAACGCTTAGGATACATTTCCACATTTCATCTTTATCCTTTTGAATGGTGACATCTTCAAGGTAGGAAAAGATGTGCATAAACTGTGAACGTCCATTAATTTGACTTTGAACCCGAAACGATTCCAATCGACAAACGGAAAGTAGGAATGTACACTGAGCGAAACTTAATCTGTTAATTATTGGCGTTATTTCAGCTGGATTATTGAGATCATTTAATATTTGATTACGAATCTCTTGAAGTTCACCTCCTGAAACGGCTTCATTACGAATAGCTGAATTATATTGTAATTCTGATCTAAGATGTTCCGTGATTTGAGTAACGGTGATTTAGATGCAATCTCTTTTACACCTTCGTACCATTCACGAGGCCATAAACTGGTTCCCGAAGTAAAACCCATAACAACACAATAGAGCCAAAAATCACGAAACAATTTGTGAAGACGAGGCTTAGGATCAGTAATTGGAGGAAGTTTACGAAGAAGCTAAATGATCAATAATAATAAGAAATCAAACCAAACCAAATCAAATCAAACAATTAATAAGAAGCCAAAATATCAGCAGGGAAAATAATTAAACAAAAGTCACAATTTACCGTGGCAATTACTGGAATCAATACTCCAAGATTTCCTGCACTACTAGAAGCCTGAAATTAAAGAGATGAGAAATTTTTTCGTTAATTGTTGATAAATGATCAATTGGATTGAATTGATTTTCACCTTAACTGCAGCGGGTGCTTTTTCACTTGCTCTTTTACCCTCTAAGCCAAGCTGAACGAATAACTCCAACAATCTAACCAACAATTCTAATTGTTCCGTTTCACCTTCAAGATTTTCAGCTACATGAGTCAACGCGTTATTAACAGGCAACGATACATGTCTGTAAATCAAAAGATAATTAAGAAAATTAAGCTCATGATATGTTGATAGATAATTAGGTGGACTTCCTACCGATAGCCATGTTTCCAATCGTCCGGTGAACCAACGTTGTAAGCGGCTGACGATTGTTTCGTTATCATGGTGAACATTTTCATCACCTCCTCATAAATATGCTGTTGAAAAGAGATAACAATTAATATGAAGAAAAAAGAAAAAGATTAAAATTCAATTTAAATTGAAATGTTTTCTATTTAAATCAATGAATACATACTTCACTACTTCGAACCAGTACCATGTTACCCAATTGTTCAACAATTAGCGCATCAATTGATGAAGGTGGTTTACAGAATCGCTGTTGGAGAAAGGTCAATATTGACTCCATGGTTCGAGGTGTATCTGCAAGATTAACTGCTAATCGTCCTAAAGTGATTATTGTATTAGTTGAGATCAATTGTGATTCAATGTCACTTTTCTCAGCGTGATATGAATGATTAGAAACCGATGCAATAAATGCTTGAATACAATGTTGATCAATCTTAAGGCCAGATCTTAAAGCTATACATAGATTATGAATCGCACGATCTTTCAAATGTTCAAAGATTAAATTAGCTGATGAATTAGTTGGATTCAAGGTTTGATTGGTGTCTTCATATGAGATGGTTATGTTAAGGGTTCCCTTTCGAGTGGTTATTTCACTTTGTTGCTTGTAAAGTCTAAGTAAAATTGGCGATGGGTTGGTGATAAAATCGCGTAATGAGGCGATCGCATCTTCCGAGATGTGAGGATATTTATGGGAAAGGTCACCAAGTCCATCTAAACAAGCGATCAGCAGAGGATATTGTGAACTTGCTAAACGTGATCCATGGGATGAGTTAATCTTTTCCGCTAATCCATTACAAATACTAACGGATGCAGGTTCATCTGAAGACCAGACTAATAAGTCAATACAGGCAGCAATTGTGAGTACAATTAATTTACAAGTATTTATTGGATTAGGATCACTTGAGTCTTCCGAGTGATCGGAAAGTTTATTGGTGAGATCGCTTTGTCCAGTTAGATAAAGTCCTTTAACAAATTCATGAATATCCCGATTAAATGGACTGGGTAAATCTAATTCTCCTTGTAACAATTCTCGTAATAATCCAACGGTAACCAAAGTTAACAATTCACTTAGTGATTTGTATGGATAAGATGGAGGAACATGTAGAGTCTTCATTTGATAGATTGACAAATATAAAGTATGAGGAAAAAGAGAAAGAAAAAGATTTTCAATGAATGGGCAAAAGATTTTCTTTTTCCTAACAGGTTAATGATAATTTGATTCTCTTTCAATAATCATTTGGAAATGAGATAAACATGAGAAGAGGGGAAATAATTATAATCGATACTCACGGCTGTGAAATCCAGAACTTGTTCATCTAATGATTGAAGTAATTCAGTTGATAAGAGTCTCTTTGTAATTGATAGAACTGACTGAACATGGGTTAATGAAAAACTATATAATTTGATTGGTTTTCGGAAAGAGATGTCATTGTGTTGCATGCGATTCAATTGATTGAAACATGAGCCAAATTTATAGAAAAGGATTTGACTCTCTCGGTGTCCAGTTTGTGTGGTGTTGGTTGTTGGCTGGACTGTTGAATAATAAGAGGTTCGAGCTGCCGAGTTAATTGAACCAAGAGATAATAGATCAGCACCAGAATCACGGGTTGGAAACTGTGAATTAGTCCAAGTTGCGTTGGCTGAAAGGGATGAATAAGATCGTGGACATTTTTGTAGATCGGGTATGGTGTGTTTCTTGCTAAGGGTACCAGTTCGAGAGATTGAAGCACTTGAGCTTATTTCTGCTGAATTGTGGTAAAAATCTTCCACTGGTTTAATGTGAACTGGAGGCTCAGGAAATAAACGGAGAAACAAAGGTAATTCATTTTCGTTTGCTTGGGTTCGACCAATTGATCTACAAGCTCCAATGTAAATGGGAATGATATTTTTGAATAGACTATCTGTTGAAAAAGAAACAAAAAGACCAAAAATGGATTGAGAAAAAATAAATAGAACAAAACAAAAGAAAAAATAGATTAGAATAGAATAGAAAATTAGTAATAATAATAAACGATCAGATTATTATTGTCATGATAAAATATCAATATAAGTATAGAAGGGAAAATTGGAAAAGGATGATCTGTGTCTGTGATTAACTTACTTTTGAGATTATTGTTGGATTTACAATCAGCAAGACCTGAACTAGAGATTAAATTAGCTAAAGTTGAGAGAAGATTAATCTGTTCATTAAGAATCTCATCTCGATAATCATAATTAAAACAGGCAACATCGGAGAGTAAAGTGTTTAAACAGAATGAGAAACGCTCAGTTGCCGGTATACGATCAGTTCCATGGAGTTTAATTGTATCTTTAATCCAGATAATTTTAACCAAACCACGAAGTATCTTCAATAGATAGGGAATAATTAAATGTTTCTGTTTAAATTTAGATTCAATTAGATAGATTCCAATGGCGATAACAGTATCCTGAGCTTGAGAATCCAAAATAAATAGACAATCTTCACTTTCCATAGGCCTAAGATCCCAGAGTCTTTTGAAAGTGTCACCATTTTCATCTGAACATCGAGCAGTAAATCGAGCAAGTCTTTGAATTGTTGGATAATAAAAATCTCTATCATGAGGAGGTAATCCCATCTCAATAACAATCAAAAAAAAAGAGAAAAATTAACAAACAATTAAACCACAATTAAGACAAAAACAACACAGAGAAAAATAAAAACATCAAAATATTGACAGTTTTCATTTTCTTTTCTATTCGCCCACAGATGGAGCCACAATCGTAGAAGAAAAAAAAATTAAGTTTTCTAAATTTCCATTTACATTTTGATTCTTGCAACAATTTGATCAACAAATAATTAAATCTTCGTCTAATTAATTTCTCTTTTCACTCTAATTAATTATCTACCTTGTTTTCTATTTTGTTTCTCTCAGTCTGGAAGATTGTCTGATCTTTTCTTCTTATTTATATTCTCTGTGATTTTCTTTCCCTCTTTTCTTTTCTTTTTTTTCTCTCTTTCTCTCTCTTTGTTATTATTATTGTTCTTTTTAATTTATCACAATCATCCTTCATCTTCATCATCACCTTTTAATATTTTCTCTTCTCTCTCAGTTTGTTGCTATGTGTCACATTCTACCTACACTTGAGATACTTTAAATTTTGTTCCATTTTGGTGGACATTGTGTTTCCATCACTTATCTTTTCCTAGTGTTTTCCATTTTTCTCTTAGTGTTTTTTTGTTGTCTGTTTGGAGATTTTATCTCTTTCTCTCTCTCTCTCTGTCTCTTGTTTTCTTCTTGGATCTTATTAGTTTTTTTAAATTCTATTCTCTTGGAAAATTTTCCTTCTCTCTTTTTTTTGCGCTGGGTGGTGAAGAAGGCAGAAAAAAATGGTGATAAACGGTGAAGCTGAGATTGTTGGACCATCGCCAATTCCTCGTGCACGGAAAAATTGGACCTCATTTGAAAAAGATGAAACAATAAACCCAAGCAATAAAACCCTTTCAACCGATGTAACCTACGATTCATCTGTAGCAACCTTGGAACCCTCAGCAACCTTACAGATAAACCGGGAAAAAGATTCACCTTCCCGAGTAAATGGTGGAAAAGGTTTTCCATCATCATCATCATTATCTTCAGGTGGATCATTTAATGAATCAAAAATAGTACCACAACCTCAACCACTGTCATCATCATCATCAACCTCTTCACCAATAGTAGCCACATCATTTCTAGGCTCAACCCAATCCACAGCCAACTCATCATCATCACCATCAACAACATCATCAACAACAACAACAACAACATCAACCATAACCAATTCATCATCACCAATTCGAGTCAATAACAATAATCTTAAACAAGTATCACTGGACATTGAAGATTCACCAAACAATAAAGCTCACCCTGGCTCTCTCTCATCTGTAACTAATCAACCTTCAACCTCATCACCATCATCAACCATAAGCAATAATGACAATCAACCAGCCTCAGGAATGCAAACAATTCCCCTTAAACAAATGAGCAGATCTCCATCAAAGTCTTTCAGTAAGCATAACAATTAAATTAACGAAACAAAATTACTCATCTGTATTTTCAGCAATAAACAACAACATCATCATCATCATCACCAGAAAACTGGAACAATAACAAAAGGAGACAGATAGACAATCAAATCAATTAGATTACAATGAACACCAGCAGAAAAATTGAAAACCTTTAACCTACTCAATTTATGTATAAATATATATTACAATTTGTTGAGATGAAATCAGCAAATCAGACAATTAGAATTGAAAACAATACTCTCATCATCAGCTGAGCAAATCATTTACCTGAGATGATTACAAGAAATGAGATAATTTAACTTATACTCTTTTGTTGATTGTAATCAATACCTTGATCACCATGAATATAATCATATTTATATCCATATATTCATAACTTTTCAATTTCCATTCAACCTGAAATGTTAATTTAATTATTACTCTTGTAATAATTAAGCCAATCCTAATTTCTTTATTACCATTGAAGGTAACAATTTAACCCTACGTTTAATTGTTGACAGATTGTCGTAAATTATTATTAATGTTATTTTATTGTTGGCGGTTGTTATTACCTGTTTTAGGTCATAAAGTGGGAGACAATTAACAAGAAAATTAATATTTATTAAGACGATCGTTAATATAATATTAACAATTTAGTTTTCAACTGAACCAAATCAAGTTGAAGTATATAGCACTCAGAAAATTAGTAATTCAAATTGTTTGGCTATCTTTATGGTTAATTATTCAGTTTTCAACTTTTACCTTTGCTAATTGTTAACTAATCATCTAATATTATCAATTTCCATCGTCAATATCATTTTGATATAAGAAAAAGTCACCAAAACTTGAAGCAATTAACAAGATCAACTTTTAACTGGTTTGACTACATTTCTTTAGCCTCATCTCATTGGACATGATTTTCCGTTCACCATGACGGACGACAAAGAGAGAGAGAGAGAGAGAGATAATCATGATAAAATGAATGGTTAAGCAACAACAATTAACTAATAATCAACTCCGATCACCAAACCAAATCAATCAAAGAAAAGGAAGAAAATTTTTCCAAGAAAAGGAATCATATTGATCGTTATGTTTTTTATCCTTCATGATTACTAACTGAATTTATCTTGAATTTTCATGGAGAAAGTGATGAAGATTAAGATGATAATGATGATGATGATGATGATGATGATACTCCTTTCCTTTAACCTTAAACTAATTGATGAATTATTTTAAGATCAAGTGAAATTATTTCAAGGTTACCTGAGATCTCAGGGATCGTTTATATTATAATATATTCTTGATTTGCCAAACTGTCATTACTTATAAATTATTAATCCTTTTTTAAACTATCAACTTAATCATCTAGTTAATCAACTAATCACTTTACATGTGAGAAAAAAGTTTTTCCCTAATCACAATTATATTAATAGTTTTCTTCACTTTATTATCTCATATTGGCAGTGGAAACAATTACTTATTGTTTATCCAATTGTTTGCCTTCATTTTGCCAACAATAAATTAACTTTAATCACCTTAACAATTAACAATTCAATCCAATGTTAACCATTATCACCACAATGTGATAATAAACTTTTTGTTTACATTTTGTAACAATAATGTTTTCGCACAGGAAAATGTTATTGATTACTTCAAATTAGATTAATCATAAGCAAATTGTAATTGTAATCAAAAAAATTGTTTCCGTTGTTCAGTTAATTGCTACATCAAAGTAATCAATGAAATTTTACTTGACAAATTGATTGTTGCTCTTGATTTTCAAATTGCAATCATTTCATCAACTAACAAAATAATTATAATTTTACAATTCCAATCAATGATCATCTTGATTATCGAGCAATTAATTGATCAATGATTGTCTCTAATTGTTTCCTTTCCTATTGTACAAAATTTTGATTTACATTTTTACTTAATTGTTAACTAATTGTTGTTTTTTTTTCTTGATTCTCATATCGATCAACAGATAATGGCGATGTAATTGTTAGTCTATTACCATTGAATAGCCATTGCGCTTGGTTAACTCCGGCCACTTTTAAGCCCGAATTGGTACCAGAGGAATTGATGGCCAGCTCATTACAAGTAATTAGTTGATTATAACAACAGTAAAAAATCAAGGAATATGAATTACTAATTGTAAACAACTTTCTCAACTGAAATTCTAGTTAACTGTTGAAGATTATGTTGGATCGATGCAGAATTTGATAAACGATTATCGTTTCAATCTCTATATTATTTTCTATAAACGGGTAATGGTCATTTGGGTGGCCCTTGGATTCGTCATATTATTGTCGCTACTTTTTTCGGGAGCTCGAGGTTTACCGTTATTCGCCGGTGGAATTGTTTGGCTAATTGTTAATGCGTTTGGTGTTTTCTTCTCAATGTGGATTAAGTGCAAAGTAATTACGAACTAACGAGAGAAAATATTTACCTAATTTGTTTAATTTAATTTATTCTCTTTAATTGTTTCATTAGTTAACTCGATTGTTGGAACAGTGTATCGCTCGGATAAATGAAATTTTCTACAAGAATAATATTTTAATTGGTGTCGATGATAAAGGCAAAATCTCCTGTCATAAAATTAACCTGGTTTTCGTTTATTTTGATTGTACTTATTGTATTGTAAGTAAATTTAGTTGTTAATTGTTACTGATTGTTTGCCCAATCATCATAATACACATAACAATCCAAAAGTTAATTGATTATATTACATTTACTATTTAGATTTTGCTTCATCACAATTCAATAATTTATTGCATTCATCATAATGTTGATTAAGATGATTTACTAATTTTTTCATTTATTAATTGTTTCCTTTTCTAGAAATATCTCAACGATATGATCGCTAATGAGGAGAGATCTAATCAAACGAGTTTACCAAATTTAAATCACTTGAGAAGTGACATTAACGCAACCGATATAATTGTCACCGGTAATACACCAACAAGATATTCCCAACGAGAGGTAATTGACAATTAGTTAATCATGACAATTTGTATTAATCTTTTTTTTTCTTTCAACAGAAATTCGGTGAAAAATTATTATTAAGATATAGTCAACGGTGGATTCGTGATCACAATCGTTCTCGGTCAATCTTAACCGTACCAATGTATCCCGACGGAAGTGACTTCGTACCGATCAGTCCAAGACATTGTCCAACCTCGAGGTGCCCTTGTCAATACATCGAAGAGCATTTAAAATTTAAACCATTAACCAAGTGCAGTTTTAAGGAGCTTTTCTTATGAACAATCAAAGGAAAAAAAAAACTTCTAATCAACAACAATAACTTTTTGTTTTGCTATATAATTAACTATATTCAATTGATTTTCTTTTAATTATTTAACTATTATTTACCAATTAGGTAATTTTAATCATCATCAAGCGATCAGGCAATAAGTTTATTAAGGCTCATCAATTAACTAATCAATCTTTTTGACTCGAGAATATTAATTTTGTATATTCTCAATGCAAGAAAAGGCCAAACAATCAACTGCTCAATCAAATCCTATTGATGGTGTTAAATAAGTAATTGAGATGGTTAACTGATTCTATTACAATCTCAATCTTTACATTGGCAATTAAGATAATCTCATCTTTCTCATCTTTAATTGTGTAACAAGTTTTTCTCTGTTTCTAATCAAGCTAATTAACTTTTAAAACAAATGATCGCATGTATGATACAATGATGATTTTTAAACAGACAATCAAATAAGTTAATCATCATTAGTTTCTTAATAGTAATTGTGTATATAGAAACAATAATAATCAACTATATGATGATAGCAATACTATAGTTAACTTATTAATTTTTGTCTTCTCCAGTTTCATGTTACCATTAATGAAAAATACAACAATCAGTAAATCTTTTTGTTTTTGACTCATTTCATTTCAACTCCCGCAGGCCAATCAATTCAATTGTTGCCTCAATTTTGTATAATTAACGCGATCATCTTGATTTATCATGCTGTTAATAACTTGATAGTTTTGTATTTAATCAATTCTTTTTTTCCAATGCTCTTCAAAAGCTTTATCCTTTTCAAGGATAAAATTAAGATTAATTATTATTGGTGTTGGAGTTCATCAGCCTTTATCCTATGATTATCCCATCAGAATGAGAGATTAACCTCACCAATAGAATAGGGTAAAGATTAAGCTACTAATCCAAGAGCCAGTAATAGATTTAAGATTTGCAACCACCGAGAGTTTCCTTGTCGAACATGTATTCACCAAGACCAGCACCAACTCTTCGTAAATTGGTTATGTAATCACCGATCTCCTTGATGGCTTCAACTTGTTCAGTGAGGAAATGACTTTCCAAGAAATCGGCAAACTGATTAAGAAAAACAAACAAAAAAGAATATTAAATAATCACAATTAACGGTAAAGATTCAATCTAATCTTATAAATATGAAGAGTAAAGAATTGATTGTGGTGGATTGGTTATTGTTTGATTAAAAAGGAAATGTAATGTAACTCAAATAACAAGTGATCGTTATTAATGACTGTTAATCTGATATTTAGCTAATTGTTGGTTAGTAAGTGGAAAATTTAATTGTAAAAGTGATTTAGGGTCATCGAGATAAATGAAGAGAAACTTTTGTTTGATTAGTTTGTTTGATCCGTAGCTTTGGTTTGGGTCAAGGCGTTGATGGATCAACACACTAAAAAGGATTTCACATTAAGATTATTGTTAATGATTAAAGTTCGTAACAATTTACTAATAACGATCATTTAAAAGATTAATTTATTGATGATTATGAATCTCACGATCTAACCTTTTATATTGTAGTTTAATGTGAGGTTGAGGGATGGTTGAAGGTTGTTATTAAGTTAATGGTGATTAATGTTATGAGTATAAACGACTAATTGTAAACAAACAATTAGATAATAATCTAAGAGATTGTAAAGTAAACAATAACAGTTTCAACTTTTGATTATACTTTTTTAAATTGTAGATTCTCAGGAGTTTAATCTTGATTAAATGTTTGAGAAATGGATTGTTATTGTTTAGATGAATTGATTAGGTAATTGAGAGTAAATTATCAACTAATTTGGTTGGACAAGTAAACATGTAAAGAGATAATTACCTGGGCATCTCCGTGTTGACTTGCCAATGAGTGTAAATTGAGAAGAGATTGATTAACAGTCTTCTCCAATTCCAATGCAGCCTCCATGGCATGAAGTCCAGAATCCCATGAGTCACGAGCGGGTTTTTTGACATCTTGTAAAACGATTCGACCACCTCGCTGATTTTGTAACTTCATCAATTTTTGCGCGTGTTCTCGTTCCTCGTCGGAAGCTTTCTTAAAGAATTTGGCAAATCCTGGAAGTGCAACATCATCCCGATCAAAATGGTAGGCCTAAAGGAGAAAGTTGAGCAGAATAGGGAAAGAAAAAGAAACATGAGAAAATAGAAAACAATCAAACAATTAATCGATTAGCGAAAGAGAATTTATCATCTTTTATATTGATTATAGAGAGAGAGAGAGAGAGAGAGAGAGAGAGAGAGAAGTGTTGTTTTCGATTTTCACCTGAAAAATTGTTCAACGTTACATGGAGACTCAATTGTATGGATTGAATTGAAAAAACATACAAGTTAAAATGACGCATTAAATTTAGTCTATTGCCTATCAAAGTCTTTGATAACGTTGAACAAGATTCTAGGATGAAAAACAAAACCAGAAAATAGGAAGACAGAGAAGATAGAAAGAGAGAGAGAGAGAGAGAGAGAGATGATGATGATGAAAAAGAAACCAGGATTGAGTCAAGTGCAAAGTGATGAAGAAGGAAAAAGAAAGAGAAAAAGAAAGGAAATAGAAAATGTTCCATAGAAAACAATATGGCCGATTTGTAATAGAGACAATAGATAAAAATGATAGATAATTGAATAGAAAAGTTAGAGGATCAACACAAGAAATCAAAGATGGAGGTTAAGAAGAGGAAAGAATTAAATTGAAAACAATAAATACCATTGACAGGTAAGCATAGGAGGCAAATAGTTCCAAGTTGATTTGCTTATTAATACCAGCCTCAGTTTCGAGGTTGAAATTTTGTCGACATTGACTGACTGGTCCAGACATTTTGTTGTTCCAAAAATTTCAATTAACCGGAGAAGAGAATAATAAAAATTTTCCAATAAGAGCAAAGCTACAAAGAGCAAAGAAATAAAGATGAAGAGAGAAAAATAGAAATAGAGAAAGAGAGAAACTAGAGAAAAAACCAAGAGAAAGAAAGAGAAAAACAGTAAAAGAGAATAAGAGAAAAAGGTTAAATTAGAATAGAAAACACAAAGAGATTTAAACCAAATGGTGACAGTTGACGAAGTAAATTGTTAACAATTAAGAGAAAATGATTAACTTACCTGTGGTTGTACGATGGGCACTCGCTGGTGTCGCTGGGTCGTCCAATCCACTTGAGAGAGACAATGAGAGTTGATCAAATTTAAGAGTAGAAATGAAACTAATCAGAAAGAAACAGTTGCTTTTATAAAGAAGGCGCTCAAATTGAACTCACTCTTTTCTCTCTCACTCTCACTCGGTCTCTCTCTCTCATTTCGCCTTGACGACGAGTTTTTTTATCTTCCATTTTCTCTCTCATCCATTTAATCATCTTTTCGTTTGTTATTAGGTTACAATTAAATTCTAATCTTGTGATTCCTTCTCATCTTCCATTCTAATCAATTTCTATTATCCTAATCTCCATCTAATTAATCTCATCGATTTCCAATCAATTTTATTAATTAATTTGGTCCAAATTACGATTTTCACTTTCGATAGACAATCAATGTAAATCTCTCTCTCTCTCTCTCTCACTCTCACTCATACTTGTCGTGTTTGGTTAATCAGATGATTAATTGTTTCCGTGATTCGATTCAGTTTAATTAGGTGATCAACTGATTTTCGGTTAATTGTTTGGAGCTTTTTTTCCTTGAGTTTTAATTGTTATTCAAATCACTCCCTTTGTAATTTGGTTTTGTTATTTGTTTTGTACTTTGAACTTGATTAGGTACTTTTGAACTTCTCGATTGATTAGTTAACTAATTTAAAATCTATTTTAATTCATAATCAATTGATCAACGGATTCTGTTAATTGTTTGAGTACAATTTTCGTCTAATTGTAAATACTTCAAGTGTTGTTGTTTTCATAGAGATGATTAACTGGTACTCACAATTAAAAAAGAGCAACTTAAATCAACTTGAGTTACTATCAAAGGATTAATTGATTAACCAAGTACAATTAATCTTAATTAACTTTTTTTGAGTTAATTGTTGATCTTCTTGATGATAAATCTCAATGTGACTTAATTTAATTCATCAAGTGATCAGTTGTAAATACAAATCATTGTAACAATTTAATGTTCAATCAAACTTTCTCCAGATAAAAAGATTTCGGTTTTTTAATTGTTGATCAACAATTAAATTTGATCCAATTTATAATTATTACAAAGATTAATTTCCAATTTTCCCAAAATCTGATTTTTGAAAAAATGATAAAGTTTTTCCGTTAATTGTGATTAAACCAATTGTTTTGTTTAATTATTCCAATCTAATCAATCGATCAACCAATCAAGTGATATTCTAATTAATTAAACACCGAATTAAATGAGATTATTTTATTTTGTTGATTAAAATTTTCTTCTTATTGCGAATTTTAAACTTGGCGCGCAAAATTTTTCTCCATGTCATATGTTCGTGGTTTCTGTTTACAATTAATTTTTTTGTTCCTTTTATTTGATTGATTTAATTTTCTTGTTAATGATTAATTGGTTTCTATTTTTTTCTTTCAAATTGTTGATCGTTGGTTTATGGAAAACTTTCATTTTTATTGAGCTCATTTAGGTTTCAGAAGGTAAGTTATCATTGATTATGTCTCTGAATTGAATTGTTGTTTTGTTAATTGTTGACAATGATTGACAAACTTTACTCTGATTAAGTTGAAACTATTGAGCATTTTTCAACAGACAAGATGTTGATTGTTAAAATTGTTTCCAAATTTCATTTTACTTTTAATTGGAAATGATTGTTTAGCCCAACGATTTCGATTCTCTCTGAGAAATTTATGTTTTCTTAATTTCTTTCCTTTTTTTGTTTTCTATCATTTAGGTTTAGTAATCAATTGGAATGAAAATTAGATCATAGACAAAGAAGATTATTAGGATAATCAACCATGGAAACGAAAATTGATTTACTGGTCAACCTCCAATTCCAAGTCTTTTACGTATAATTGAAGGCTGAACTGATTAACAACAGGCTGATTGTTTCATCAATTCGTTAATCTAATCAAGTTAAACTGAAGCATTTTGATGAAAAGCTCAATTCTGATTTAGTTGGAAAGAGTGATAATAGATTTCGCTTCAGGTTTGATTAACTTTTCAACTCAAGAATCAAGTGTTACTTGGAAAGTACCGATTCTGTACAATTAGTTGATTATCGAAAGCCTTGAATCATTAAGAATGACCGAGAATCTGAAATTGAAACGATTTAATCTTATGATTATCTTAATGTCACGATGAAACAGAATTACAATTAACTCTTAATCGTTGTGGGGATTAATTTCTAATCATTAGTTTCATTTTTAATCCTCTTTCCAATTGTCTAATTGAAATGAGAAAATCATTCATTTTTTTTCATCATGAATTTTGATCAAGTTGATTGGTAATCATTTATCAACTAATTAACCATTTTATCAGTTGATTATTTGGCACTAATCAATTTCAACACACCAATTTATCAAATTGTTGATTTGCTTATCCCAAGATAATAATATAATTGAATCGCTGGATAAATTGTTACTAATTGTCAATCCAAAATCAACCGATTTAGTGGACAAAAGGATTAACCAACAATTTAATTAATTGAGCAAAAATCTATGGATCAGAGGGATAATCATTCAGTTAATTGTTAGTCAAATTAATTGGAAAATCGTTGAAACTTCAATTGAGTTAACAATCAAAATTAGCTCTGTCTTTCATCAATTTTAATTGCAATTAAAACACCTCAAGAACCAACAATCAAACATCAATCAAAATGAGAGATTATATTAATCATTACGAAATGATTTAAATCTACAAGATAAAATTGAATCCAATTAATTAACAGGATCATTGTTATCGAAAAGATTAAATTATTAACCACCCACTACCTTAATCATCGTAATTATTGAGTAAATTGTTATCATGATTAACATGCAATCAGCCAATTAACATTAAATAGGATTGTAAAAGTTTATGTGATTATATTTTTGTACAAACAATTTACCAAAATAATTAACAATCAACTGATGGAATTAGAAACAAGTTAAATAATCTAAACCAAGAATTAACTATAATATCAAAGCAAATTAATCATCTAAATTGTTACAATCTCTCATAAAAATAGATGTAAGAAGAAAAACTAAATCAGTCTAAACAATCAAAGTTAATCAAAAATGATGGTAACAATTTAGAAGTTGAGATTTTATTTAACAAAAAAGAACCAAAAATTGACAAGTTAATCAACATGTTCAACAATTAGAGCGACAAAAAAATGCTGATCACAACAATTAACAAGCAATCGGTGATAATTATCTCGATAATAGAATATGAAAATTACAACATTTACGAGAATAGAATCGAGTTGATAAAAGTCAGTAATTAATTAACTGTTAATCAGATGAAAACCCGACTATTATAAAGAGAGAGAGAGAGAATTAAAAAAATGATCATGATCGCCTCGAGCGAAAACTGTTTTATTCAAATAGTACCGTTAATCGGGAAGATTATATAACCGTCGATAGCTCAGTTGGTAGAGCGGAGGACTGTAGTTGAACATTTAATGGTGATCCTTAGGTCGCTGGTTCGAATCCGGCTCGACGGAAGCTACTTTTTGTCCCTGGAATCGATTTTATCGTCGGGATAAAATGACGATTAGAAATTGAAAAGTTCCAACCAAATCTGTTCCTTAGTAGATGAATAGAAGTTGAAGAAATGCAACTTGTGTCTTGATGGAAAGTTTATCATAAGTTTTTCGTTACTTCGTTGGAAATTTGAATATTATTACGAATCTAATCGAGAATTTCACCTTCTCTGTATTCTGACCGTCAGGATGGCCGAGTGGTCTAAGGCGCTGCGTTCAGGTCGCAGTCAGATTTATCTGGCGTGGGTTCGAATCCCACTTCTGACAAAGGAAACTTTTTTTTTTCATCAAGTTCGAAATCTTTTGTTTCATGCATCATATGAACTTTACTTTTTTTCATCTCAAGAAAAGTTCAGTTCTGAAAGTTTCATTTCAAGTCTGAATGAATGGTAATCAAACGAAGATGGTTTTTTGATAAAATCGATATTTTTTGTTTATTCTAATCATGGAATCGTTTTTTTCACTCACCAAGGAAATTCACCAAGGGAACTTTTCATCCATCATGTTACTTTATCTTCCTTAAGGTGATCAACCATCGTTCTCCATGATCATCACTCTCTTCTGAATGATCATCATTCATATAATTACGATAATTTCAGGTTGACTTTACGAACGGAAATTATTATCATTCTGATAAACGTTTTGAACAATTGAGCTAATCGTTAATCTTTAATTGTTCATCAGTAGGGGAGTTCGATTATTTTTGAATGTTATCATTTAAATCGTTGGGAACTCTTTTCATATTCATCTTCATCTCCAAGTTTACCGTATTAATTTTTCACAGCAGTAGTTGATTAAGAAGATGAAAAGTTATCCAATTAATCATAATCTCATTGACAAATCGCTTTTGATCAACATTAAATTATTTTGATTTAATGATAAAAAACAAAATCGTTTTGATGATATTACTGGTTAGTGTTATTACTTTGATCAGAATTTAACTTTGATAAACAATTTGAAACCATTGGTTGAAAAACTGATAATCTTAAAATCAATTGGATTCATATGGATGATCACTGGTAATCTTATTTATGTTTAGGATTTCTTATTACTTCAATCGTAATTTAGCCTCGGGTGATAGTTGAAATTAAAAGTTCGCCAAGGACGAAAAGGAAAAGTTTCTTAATCTGACGTAGAATTGGAAAGATGATTATGAAGATGATGATGAAGTGTAAAAGAATCACGAATGAGACGAAAATTATGATTACAAGAAGAAGAAGAAGAGGAAAGTGAGATAAGGTAAAAAAGAAAGAGAGGAAATGAAGATGAGAAGAGAAAAAGAGAGAGATTTGAAATGAAGAAGAAAACGATAAACATCGTTTTTGGCCTTACTAACCTAAAGAAGATAATAGAGAGAAAGAGAGAGAGAGAGAGATGAGAGATGATAAAGAAAGAGAAGATAAAGTGAAGATTCTCTTCTCTGTCCATGAATTCCATGAAGGTGGAATAAGCGAAAACAGGAATATCCTGATCTTTTTTCTTCCCTTCGATTCGTCGATTCAAATTCGAACCCGCCTTCCTCTTACTTTCTCTCTTTCGAAAAATGTAACTCTCTCTCTCTCTCTCTCTCTCTCTCTCTCTCTCTCTCTCTCTCTCTCTCTTCTCATCCTTCACGATGAAGATGATGTTATCCTGATGATAATTTTCTTATCCTCCAAACAACATAATGTCCCGACCCCAAAAACGAAGTGAATCCGCTCGAAATTGTGTAAGAGAAAAAAAGAAGATAACAAAAATATTAGACAGATAGAAAAGAAAGAGGAAGATGATTAAGATGATAAATCAGATGGTTAACAAGTGAGAGAGAAAGAGAGAAGCGAAAAAAAAGTTCTAAACAAAGTTTTCTTACCTCAAACTTACCTTGTTTTCACATTTTCCATTTCGTTACAAGAGTTTGCATCGTTTCGTTGTAACGTTTTCATCCATTAACGATCATTTCTGATCATCTCTTTTCTCTTGATTGTTCAAATTGTGATTAACCTCATCACTTAATCATCATGTTAATCAACTGATTTCAATTTTCTCCAATCGTTACCATGGATAATATTTTTCTCTCGTTTTCTTATTGAGTTTTCTGTGAACTTTAATTGTGATTTAATTTTTTACTTTTTCGATAATAACTTTTTTTTTTAAATTTTCTCTTTGTGGTGAATTAAATTGTTACAATCAACAAAATGGATTATATCAGTTGTACAATTAAATCACCTTCGTATCGATACAATCAAGGGTAAGTTAATTGTTACTTTGCCCTTTGGGGTTCAAAGCAAACTTTTTAATTATCTTGTCAATCCAACCAATTAGCTTCACTAATCATGATTAAACTTTTTGTTTTCTCAATGATTAAAACAAATTGATAATAATTGTTTAACTAATTGTTATTTAAACACCTTGATCATCATCATTTAAATATTTAAACAAAATACAATTAATATCAAATGATTAGCTTTAAATGAGTGACATTGAAATTATTACAAAAACAACAACAATCAATGTTAAACTAACACAATCAGTAATCAAATTAAATTTTAATTTCACTTTCCCTTACCAAACAATTTAATTATATCTCACAATTAATGATTAATTAAGAATGACACTCAATATATATTTAATAATAATATAAACTTGACTTAATTAAAAGTTGTTGAAACTTTTTGGTAAACAGTTAATTTAGTTTAAATTGTTTAGTAAAATTAAATTAACAATTTAGTTCCTCTTCTCAAATCAAATTTAAATCTCATATTTCCAGACCCAACCTACACCTTAATCATTATATTAGCTGTTTATTTCTCAACAATTTACTAATTGTTCATCGACATTGGCAAAAGCCGGTAATAAAATCATACACATATTTAATCATCACAATTGACCCTGTAATTTAATATGTATTGTTAATGGTTAACATTTTGTAATCAGCTTAATTAATATGAATGTTGAATTTGTAATCAAGTGAAAGTTAATTGTTGTTGACAATTTAGCTAAATTTGGCTCTGTGACCTTAACTAAATTCAAACCTTATTAAGATAAATACAATCAGCTTTTCATATGTGTGAGTGTTACCATGAAAATCAACAACAATTTAACTTTAATCACAAACAATTTAAAATGATTTGTTGTCTCTTTTATTATTGAATAACAATTAAAATGATTCACTAAATTGAGATGGTAAAACTTTGTAAGATTTATTGATTTACAATCAATCAATTGATTAGAAAATTTAAATTTCCATTCTCAAGTGATTTAAATTGTTCTTAATTGTTACATCAATGATAATCATCCAATGTTAATCATTTAAAATTTTAAGATTCCATTTGAATATTAATTGTGATCAGTTGAGTTTAATTGTTGATTTGTTTTATCAAAAACTAATCGTCAAACAATTTAGCTCAAACAATTAAACATTTCATGATGACAACAATGTTTTTAAATATTTTCACCATCAAAAAATTAATTGTTGATGATTAAATAAACAATTGTTGACATTGATTGTTAATAGTGTTAAGGTAAGAAGGTCTTAATTGTCCCACTGTCCTTGTTTATTATGATATTCAATCAGTAACAATTAACTATTGTCAATAATGATAATCAGTTAATCGTGAAACGGATTAGGTGATAATCATTACTAATTGTTGTTAAACGGTGTTGATGGTGATTGTTTAATTGTTGATAATGATGATTGATTGTAATTGAAAAAAAAGTTAAAGTTAAAATCTCTAGTTGATTTGTTGATCATGATTAACTGTTGATTCAGTTATAAAAAGATTGATCTTTAATCCTTAACAATTAAGCTCATTTTCAGTATAATTATTATTATATTATGTTGATTGTGTTGATTGTGTTGATTTCTTATTGTTAATATTTGATGAGCTTGATGATTATGATGATGATGGATTGATAATGATTGACCAACATCAGAAAAAAGCAATTAAATTGTTCTAGACATGATTTAATTTGATCACAATTAACTTTCTATCACAATTGGTGTATTATTATTGACCAACAATGAGAAACTGAATCAATGTTGTTTCATCATCTCCTCTTATTGTTGATTGTAATGATTAACTTGATGAAAAGTAATAAGTAAATCATCCTTATCATTATCATCAATTTTATGACAATTAAGATGAAATTAGAATCCAGAAACTGATTTGATCAACATGATTAGTAACAATTTGAGAGATTATAATTACAATCATGATGATGATCATGTGAAAGTTGATTAAAGTGAGATGATGATGATTATCAAATGATGGTGATGATATTTCAATCATCAATTGATTGTTGATCAATATTTACCTTAATTGTTGGGAAAATTTTTCCCAAAATCAAAATCAAATTGAAAGATTTCATCTTAATCCGATTTTAATTGTTTTACCAAGTGATCATGATTTCTTTGTGATGATTTTCAATTAAATGAAAATCTTAATCAATTTTGATGATGACTTAAAGTACTAAGGTTACACCCAAACAATTAACTTAATTGTTGAGTTGAAAAGTTTTTAAAACCTTGAAATTGAATAGCAAAAGGGTCAATAGTAAAAGTATTATCACAAAAAGGAAAATATTGAACAATTAGTTGATTGTTTAGCTTAATTTTCACGCTTGATGACAATTTTCAACTCGGAAATGGTCAATTCAATTAGTTATGATGATAGTAATTGATTAATTAATTTAGGTTGCCTTTAAATTGTTGACCAATTGTCATGATTTAATTTGACAAAAGGGTTAACCAGGTCAATCTGTAAAAACTTTTGTATTAGTTTAAAACCTTTTCATAAGCAATTGGTATTAATTGTAAATCTTTAATCGTGATCAAAGACCTTAATTGTTTCTGGTTAAAGAGGGAGATGATTATGTTTATGATGATCACAATTAATTAATTAACAAAAGTAGCACGTATTGTCAACGCGTGTTTATATATATTTGTATACATAAAAGGGGAAACATAAAACTTGAATAGTTAGTTAATTGTTGTTTTGCTGTTGTGATTAAATTGTTTATCTGTTCACTTTCACTTTAATTGTAGTTTGTTAAATCATAAACATCAACGCAAGAATACAGCAATTAACTTTGTATATTATTATTAGATAATCATCTGAATGTTGGAAAAGTTTTCCGAGAGTTAGAACTTTTTTTTTTCTTTAACCTCGAATTTAATTTTCTTCCGGTTATCTTATTGTTGATAATAAGATAATATCTTATTAAAACAGTGCTAAAGTGACATTTGAATATTTATTCATATGATTGAGTGGACAATTAATTATTGGACAATTAGCTAATCAACAATTTAGCTAACAAGTTTGTTGACTTTTACCAGCAACTGTAGGTCAGAAAATCGTAGTTTGAGTTGACCATCTCGAAAACTAATCTAATTTAATTTGCTTTCGGTGAAATATCGTTGATTGACCGTCAATAAATTGAGAGAGAGAGAGAGAGAGAGAGAGAGAGAGAGAGAGAGAGAGAGATGGTCATCTTCATTGAAATCGAAAGCGATGATTGACCTGAAAAAGAAAATTTCGAAATCGTTAGAACTATTAAGAACTCGAAAAGTTTTCAACAAAAGTTTTTCAACTTTGATCTTTTGATACGAAAACAATTGAAAAAGTTTCTACGAACAATTAAATTAAATGATCAACAATCATCACAGTCACAATTTAATTTAAATGTTAATTTAAAAATTAATTAGCCATCAGTTACAACGATTAAATTGTCTAATTAAATGAGCAACAAACAATCAGTTTGATAATTATTTCAACATGGAAAATGTAAACAATTTAATTCAGTTAAAACTGATCGGTATTAAATGATTGCAACAATCAGACTAATTGTCTAAATTAAGAGCTTAATTTTAGCTCTTTAATTTGGTTGATAACATTCAATTAGTTTTAATTGTAATCCATTTTTATCACTTTCTTTATAAATCATCATCATCACTAATAACAATCAAATCAATTTGTCTCGATCAATTGATTCTCAACAATTTAAACATTGGTTTAATCAACTCAGTGTAACAATTTAAAAAATATTGATTAAGATTTTCAAATGAAAAATATTGTCTGATTATAAATTACACTTTGATTGATTCAATTTAAAATCACAATCAACTAATCATCAATTGCTAAATAGTTATATTTATATTGCTTGATTATTTTGCTTTTAGATGAAACCAACTTTTTGTTAACCATCACAATCAAAATAAATCACAATTAAGTTTACAATTGACCTTACAAAATTTGATTGTAAATCATAATCTTGATCAGTGAACTTAATTAAACTCCTAATTAAGGACTAATTATCTGTTAGAATTAATTGTTAATCAAGTTTTTGTCTTTCATGTTTCTCTTGATTGTTATCGAGTTTATGTCAAGTTAACAATTTAGGTCACAGAAAAATGTTGATTGTTGATGATTAAGATGATGATGATTAAGGTGATGATGATGAGGAAGCAACAATTGGTTAATCATTGAGAAAAATTAACTGATCATGTTAAATGTAAATTCATCATTAATGATTAATGAATTTTTGTCATTCATTATAATTGATCAACAACAGTAAGTTAAGATTTGATGGCGATTTATTAATTATTACTAATTGTTACTTACAGGAAATCAAAGATTGGCTTATTGTGGATACTTAAATCATGGTTATGTTTAATTGTTTTGATTAATTATTTAATTGTTCCAATTGTTCAAAGTCAACGACACAAAGGACGTAATTTCAATGGAGCAGCTCTATCAGCTTTAATTGATATTTCAAAGGTAAATGATTAACTAATTGTTGTAACAATTTAACTGATTCAGTTTAATGAAACAAATATTCAAGGTTTCTAATGAGCTGAATAAACAATTTAATCACTTAATTGTTAACAATTTAACCATAGAAAAGGATGTTAATTACAAGTCGTAATTGATGATCAACTGTGATGATTTAATATCCATTGGATTTATAATCAATGTTGTTTATATTAATAAAAGTTACAATCAAGGACTTTAATCATATGGAATGACCTTCCTAACAATTAACCAATGTAATTGATTAAATGATGATGATAGTTAGTTAATTATCCATAACAATTACAACTTTTCCATCGCTGGAATGATTAAATTATCTGTTGAGATTTTTTCCCTTTTGGTCAAGCATATCGACGTTATTTGTTAATTGTTGTGATTAATTTTCTCTCTTTATCTGATTGAATTAAAGGGTTACACAATTAACTCATCTCCACCATTGGATGGATCATCATTAAGTTCAACAATTAACAGTGATTTACGTCGCAATCAAGCATTAAAGGAAATACCTTCACCTTCATTGGGTTTAAATGATGTCGTTAATCAAGCTGATCAAATTGTTAGGAAACGACTTGAAGATATTGAACCAAATATATTGTCGAGTGGTAAGTTAATTGTTGACAATTTAAACTACAATTTAGATTAACTAATCAAAGTTTTTTCCATGTTACTAGTTGATCATTTGATTTGATTGCTCGTAGTTAATTGATGACCACGATATCGATATGAGATTTTGAATGAAAGTGTCAAAATGATTAACTAACTTTTAATTAGTTTCGATATTGTTAATTAAATTAATTTACATTAACAGTGATTAAAAATTGATGTTGTATTTATATCAAGATGTTAATTTGCTGATTGATTAAAATATATAATTGTAATTGTTTTATTAATAAGTTAATTAGAAATGAAAAGTTTAATTGTTCCGGTAACACAATTAAATTAAATTGTTACGAAGATCGTGAAAAATATATTGTAATCAATTAAGTTAATTTGTTAATTTTGTTTTTATATTGTTATTAATCATTACAGTGATCACGAACAATTAAAAGTGATGATTATGATTAAGAAAATAAGATCAACCTTTAATTATGGAGTGAAAGTTTTAATTATTTACTTGATAATAACGAGGAAAATGTTAACAATTAACAATCAGCCAACAACGAGAAACAATTAACTTTGGGTTGGTTATAAATTGTCATAAATAAAACATGATTAAATTATCAAGTGATTAGTTTCATCTTAAATTGTTACTTGTATAATAATTTATACTTTTCATCATAAAAATTGTTATCCAACAATCAACTGATTACTGATCAATTGACATATAAATTAGATATCATTATATCAGGTTAATCATAATCATCTTGAAAACAATGAGTTAATAACAACAATTTATTTTTGAACAATTTAAATCCTCAATTAATTGTTGTGTGTGAGTAAAAATCTCAATTTGAATAAATTGTTCAATATAAATTTCACTTGAAAGTAAAAATTTTTTTAATCATTTACTTAATTAAATTGTTCGCGATGATGATTAACTGTTGATGGTTAAGTAATTAAGTTAATTTTACCTTGATTTAATCAGCTTGATGTCTTTGATTTGTCAAATGATTAAAAGTTAATCTCTAATTACCTTGGAAAGTTATTCTAATTTAATATTGACAATTTAAATTAATTGTTAAAGGAAAAGTTTGATTTACTTTTGGTTGGCATGATTAAAGTTAATTGTGGTTTTCTTATATTATTTATACACTTTCATTATTATTCATTACAATTAGAAGATGATTAAGTTTAATGTTATTACCATTGATTATCAGATTTTACAATCAGTTGGTAATTTTAATCAATAATAACAATCACAATTAAAGGTTGATTAACTAAATTAACCTTGTATTGTGAGTGTCTTATGGTTGATTATGATTGAGCTTGTTGATTGTTGGTCAATTGTGAAAATCATTACCATTTATTATCTGATCAATATGATCATCAAAGTGATGATCATAATTGTAATCAATATCAGATCTTAATCATCATCACGATTTAAATTTTTCCCTTTTTTGTTGTTATATGAATGATTAAATTTCCTTCTAATTGTCTTATTTTGATTATCATGTGAATTATTCAACTAATCAAAATAAAAGTAAAAGTTGATCAGCTTTTGTTCAACAGTTAATTGTGTTATTAGGGTTGAATGGTTTGATTGTTGTTGGTTAATCACAATAAGACAAATAATCCAATGTAAATCATATAATGATTTATGTGTTGGTTGACATTTGATTTGATTTTCCTGCTTCACATGCGATAGACACAATTGATTAGTGAGATGATTAAGCACAATGATTAGTATGATTACGGTGAGAATTATTTACAATTAAGAATTTGCTATTTTTTTCCAACAGATAATTGTGATTGTATTAATTGGGAATAACAATAAGAGTAGGAATGAGTTTTTTTCTTCTTGTAATTATCAATTAGATATTGAGTAGATTATCTAAAAGCTATTGTGATAAATGTCCTGAGAAATTAAATTTTGAGAACAATCAAAATATTAATGTGACCACTTTCATTGATCACAAAAGTGATTATGTCACCAAATTAACATGGATCATGATGTGTTCACATTAGCGGAGTGATAATTTAAAGAAAGAATATAAAAAACAGGATAATCTAATCACAATGCCGGAGGATTAAAGAATAATCCAAATTGATCAAATTCTGATTTTTCCTTTTTTTTCAATTTCTTTTCTTTTCCATTCCAATCATGTAATAGGAGCCATTCAAACGCCTGGATCACAAGGATGGTTTCTTGCTGCTGCTTCTCGGACCAAAATTGTTGCCAAAAATTTCTCTCGTCCAGCTTTAATTGCAGAAGAATCATCAAAAATAATCGCCAACAGGTAAACCAACATTAAAATAGAAAATTAAAAAGAAGAAAAAATCAACAACATTGAGATGATATAGAAAAGAAAACACAAAAAGTGAAACCGTAAATTAATGTAACACAAATTAACTGTTAAAAATACACTTAATTTATCTCAACAATTGAATACTTACAGTTATCAGAAGAAGAATATAGTTAACTGATTATTAACATTATTTAAATATTAAAAATAATTGTAAATCACGAATCACAATTTAATAGAAAAACATAAATTCTATTCAAGAAAATGAAAACATTCAAATGAAGATAAATTTTCATATTCATCTAAAGGGGTTAACCGTTAAAGCGGCTCACAAACGAGGTAGAAACATAAATACAACCTTTACAGATGTAATTGTAATCAGTAGACACTTGGAACACAAATTTATCCATAAATAGTTAAACTACTTAACACAATTAAAAGAACAATTTAATTTAATCAATTAGAATTAGTTTTTAATCTTGTAATTTGATTTCTGAACGACGAATGCGCTGCCCTCTGGTATTGGAGGGAAAACTCAGTTTGTTAGTTGGAAAAATGTTCCAATGTTTTTATTTCCTCATTCGTTTGTGATTAACGTTTTTTTAATTGTTCTCGCAATTAAAGTGTTTAATTTAGTTGTTAGATTATAAATTCGTAAGTATGGTTGCATCTAGTTTGTGAATTTCTTCAAAATTCATCTTCTAAGTTGTGGTTTTATGTTCTTTTTTCTCTTTCTTTTGATTGAGAATTTCTCTTGTGATTAATAATTTTTTTTTGTTCTTTTTTTTTTTTGTTCTATTCTTTTTGGGCTTGGTTTTTGATCGTTTTCTTGGACTTTTGTTCTTTTCTCTCTCTCTTTCTTGATTTTGGTTTGTTTTGTGGTGATCGGTGGTCAGTCTTAAGCTATCTCGTAATGATATTATTACCAATTTAGGGTCGACCGATTTAAGAGGAACTCTACTTGAAAATGAGTGTCCTCGAAAGGTTAACCTTTTACCTTGTCATCCTGGTAAATATCGCTCATTTTCGGGTCATTGTAATAATGTTCAACATCCTTATTGGGGTAATTCGGTAACATCTTATGTAAGGTATTTTCCTTCCCAATATGCTGATTCTATTTCATCTCCTCGAGCTTCAGTTACCGGTGGTGAACTCCCATCGGCTCGTGATGTCTCCATTAGGGTTCACCAAGGTTCTGAGGTTGAACATCCTCATATTACTACATTACTTGCCTTTTTTGGAGAATTTATTTTCCATGATCTCTATCACACCGCTCAAATGGTTGGTCATCGTGGTCATCGTATCAAATGTTGTGGCCTCAAATCAAATCTAATCCACCCTGAATGTTTACCAATAAGAATTCAAAGAGACGATCCAATGTACATAGAAATGAAACAAACTTGTATTGATTATGTACGATCATGTCCAGGTATCAGATTAGGTTGTACCCTTGGACCCAGAGAACAAGTTAATCAGGTAATTATCAACAATCACCCGTTAATCCAAATTGAAAGTAACAATCAATTTAATGATAAATCTGCTGCCACCTTTTGATTTACTTTGAAAACGTTAATCCACAAAAAAATCTGTTAATCTTTCGTTTTTTAATTTACTTTCTTTAACATCTCTTTTGCATCTTTTGTATGTCAGGTCACATCCTTTTTAGATGGATCAACAATCTATGGATCATCGGAAGAGGAATCTCACCTTATTCGAAGCTTCAAAGATGGTCAACTTAAATCTCAATTGGTCCAAGGTAAAAATGGAGTTAAACGTGAACTATTACCCGCTATGGACGGAGCCCAAGATTGTCGTGGTTCGATGAGCCATGTACCCGGTAAAGGTTGTTTCTATGCTGGTGATATTCGGGTCAATGAGAATGTTGGTCTAACCTTGATGCACACTTTATGGTTACGTGAACATAATCGAATCGCCCGTAAATTGGCTTCTCTTAATCCTCATTACAATGATGAGAAATTATTCCAAGAATCTCGAGCAATTGTTGCCGGTCAAATTCAACACATTGTTTACACTGAACTTGTTCCAGCTCTTCTTGGTTCCGAAGTTACAACTCAATATGATCTTATTCCTTTAACCGATGGATTCTATTCAGGATATAATATGGAAATCGATCCAAGTATGGACAATGCCGTTGCTACTGCAGTGTTACCCTTTTTATATTCAATGTTACCCTCACGATTAGAAAGATATTCACCTAAATTGGCCATGCTTGGTACTCGAAAAATGTCCGAAACTTATTTCAATCCATCTGATCTCTATGATGTTGCTAAATTTGATGAATATCTGATGGGACTTATTTCACAAAATGCTTACCAACCCGATGTTTTTGTCTCCCGTGAATTAACAAATAATATTGTCCAAGAACCAAAAGAAGGTCTCGATTTGGTTGCAATTATTATTCAACAAGGTCGCGATCATGGTATTCCAAGTTACACTCATGTCCGTCGATATTGTTCAATTGAACCAGAAATTCGTAATTGGGATGATTTAACAACCATTTTAAATGTTACAATCGTTCAAAAATTGTCTACCGTTTATAAGTAAGATCATTTATCATGAACCAAACAATTATTAATAATTTTCTTTTAATTGTCTTTTGTCTCTTTAAGGGATGTTAATGATATCGATTTATTTACTGGTGGACTTGCCGAAGCTTCACTTCCAGGAGCTATTGTTGGACCGACTTTTGCTTGTCTTCTTGCTCGACAATTTAATGCAATTCGACGTGGTGATCGATATTGGTACGAAAACGATTTACCACCTTCGTCCTTTAGTAAAGCTCAATTAACCGAGATTCGAAAAGCAAGTTTAGCAAGTTTAATCTGCGCTAACGGTGATAGTATGGACTTCGTTCAACCTTCGACTATGGTTTTATCTGATGCTTATCTTAACGCTTTCCAATACTGTTCCAATATTCCGACAATAAATTTTGACCCATGGAAAACTGAATCTTCCCAAAGTCGAATACCTCAAGCTGTGATGAAGGAGACACTTGAAAAAGCATCAGTACAAATTAACAATTTACGACAATTGGAAAGATCTTCAATAGGTCAAGGAGCTCCTCGAGGAAGTCCTCAAGCTGAACATTTAGGTTTCGCTCGACCCAAAAGACAAGCAATCGAAATGGGCAACACATCTTTTGTTCTTGAAATAATTTCCAACAATTTAGTTCGATCACTTATCAAACGACACAAGGATCGTGAAGTTGGACGATCGTTAAAATTTGCTTTAGATGATATTATGACCATGTTACCTGAAATCGATCTTGCTGAACTTGGAGATGCTCGACCATTACCCGAAATAGCAGCATTAAGGTCAAGTGATTGTTTCGAAGAGCCAACACCCTGTGACCATACAACTCCATTCCGTACCTACACCGGTTGGTGTAACAATTTAAAAAATCCGATTGTTGGTAATTCGCTGAAAACTTTTGACCGTTTCTTACCTTCCCGATACGATGACGGAATCGCTTCACCTCGAAAAAAGACCAAATCGGGTAAAATATTGCCCTCTGGTCGTTTAGTATCAACCTCAATGCACTATGATATTAGTTCACCTCATGTTCGTTATGCTTTGGTCACTATGCAATTTGGTCAATTTCTTGATCACGATCTTACCTTTACACCGATGTACTTGGGTCCTGGTAACACAATTTTAAATTGTAAATCTTGCGATTCTCGAAAAACAGTTCACCCTGAATGTAATCCAATTCTAATTCCCAAAAATGATCCACATTTTCCCTCCGTTAATTCAACTACTGGTAAACGTCAATGTTTACATTCTGTTCGGTCGATAAATGGTCAAACTCGCCTTGGACCAAGAGAGCAGATCAACCAAATTACACCGCTACTTGATGGGTCCAATGTTTATGGTTCTGATCCTTGTGAAGCTCGTATGTTACGTTCGTTAACCGGTGGTCGGCTTAATGCAACCCGTCATCCACTTCCAGGTCACAAAGAGCTACTACCACAAACCTCAGAGCATCCTGAATGTGTTGCACCTTCTGGACTTTGTTTCGAAGCGGGTGACGTACGATCATCGGAACAACCAAGTTTGGCCTGTATGCACACCATTTGGCTTCGTCAGCATAACAAAATTGTCGGAGAATTGGCCTCAGTTAATCCTCATTGGGATGATGAGAAACTTTATCAAACCGGTCGTAAGATTGTCGGTGCGCTTCTTCAACGTGTCACTTACGGTGAATTTTTACCTCGAGTCTTGGGTATCGATTATTTGAACAAATTTGGACTTGCCCTTTCAACCTCAGGTTATCATGAAGGTTATGATCCAAACTGTCGACCAGTTATTTTCAATGAATTCGCGGCCGCTGTTTTCCGTTTTGGTCATTCACTTCTTCGTCCATCATTCGCTCGTCTTGGTAGAACCTTTCGACCAGTTGATGGACCACTTAAACTTCGAAGTTCCTTCTTCAATTCAGACATGCTTTATTCAGGTAAATTCTCATGAATACTTGTTAAATTTAATTCTAATTACTAATTTATTCTCTTTATTTACAATCAGCTGGTGCTATTGATAATATTCTCAGAGGAATCATTACAAATAGTATTGAGACTTTGGACAATTCAATTACCGAAGAAGTGACCAATCATTTGTTCGAGGATCGAAAGGTTCCTTTCTCAGGAATGGATCTTATTTCATTGAATATTCAACGTGCTCGTGATCATGGAATTCCTCCTTATAATGAATACAGAGTAGCTTGTAATATGAGTCGAGCGAAAACATTTGACGATTTGTCGAATGAAATTTCACCTAATCTAATTTCACGATTGAAAAAACTTTACGAGTAAGTATTAGTCGAATCTCCATAATACAAACAATTTTCTTAATTTAAACATTTGTAAAAAAATATTCTTAATTCTATCTAATCGATATTGTCATTTCTTTTCCATCTCTCAAGGCATGTTGATGATATCGATCTATTCACTGGTGGTATTTCTGAAACTGCTTTACATGGTGGTTCAGTTGGGCCAACTTTCGGCTGTGTATTAGGACTCCAATTCCAACGATTGAAACGATGTGATCGTTTTTGGCATGAAACAAATGATCCATTCATACGTTTCACCGAAGCTCAGTTGAATGAAATTCGTAAAATGAGTCTGGCCAAAGTGATTTGTGACAATTCAGATTCAATTGATATTATTCAACGTCATGTTATGGATCTTCCTGATTCATTCCTGTAAGCGAAAAAAATATCGAGACTAAATTTCACTAAATTAACAATTTTCTCTCCTTTTCTCTTTCTTTCTTTAAATTTTGCCCAATAGAAATCCTCGAGTTCCATGTTTATCTTTACCTTCAATTGATGTAACTAAATGGCGAGATACTGGAGATTCTTGTCTTATGGCCGGTAAACTAATCAAAACTGGCCGATCTATGAGACCCTCACCCTGTACCATGTGTATCTGTACAAATGAAGGAGTAAGTAACAATTAACAATTAAATGCGGCCTTTAAATAGCTGAAACAATTAGCTTACCTTAGCTGAATCGTTGAGTTTAATGTTTTCAAATTTATGATCTTAAAACATAGATTTACTATTATTCACATTTATTAACTTTCCAAAGGATAGAAAACAAATTTAAAACTGAATTAGTTAATTTTAAAACTTTTTTTTATTACTTTAACCTTTTGTTACTCCTCAGGTAACTTGTAGTTTACTTTATTATCATTCAGGACAAAAGCTTACCTGTGAAACTAATCATATGTGAATTGGTTTAGTTGGTTTACCTTTTCATTTTCATAAAAATTAAATGTAAAATGCTTAATCATTTTACTATTCATCATTACATAATTCTATATACTACATATACTTTAAGATGATGATAATAATCCAATTTTAATCTTTAAATCATTACAATGACCTAGAAGTTGATTTGTATTTAAGTTCATAGAAAAGGAAAACTTTTCTAAATTCATTCAAAAAGTTATCAAACAATCAAGTTAATACATTGATTATCAATATTCCTCTTTAATAATAACATTGTAAGCAGAGAGACAGAGAAAGAGGTCACTCAGGTCAGGTCATCGGGAAAACGGTCATCACCATGTTAACACTGGTAAACCAACGAGTGACCCAAGGTTATGAGGTCATTTACCTTTTAGTTTGCCCTAATAAAAGGCCAACTATTATACCGATGAATTATATATTAGGCCAATGACCATTTACCTATGTTATTATTACTATTATTGAGCTTGATTTTGATCGATGGTCAAATACACGGAACTAATCAAGTCTAAAATTAGCAATTTACTTACTGTTGATCTTTGCAACGAAAATAACATAGGATCAAGTTAGTTGCTATTAATTTCCATCCCATTGGGCAGTTAAATGGGTCACCGAATTTTCACCCATAAAAATGGCCTCAGGTCAGAATAAGATGAAACTTTAAAGACAAAAAAAATTACCGTTGTAAATTGTAATCAGCTTAACAATTAACCTCAATAGTTAAACTGTGTATGTGCGTCATTGCGATGTTACATTTAAATTGTTGTTTATGATTATCATTTTGCTGGTCAATCTTTCATAGGGATTGGAAAGTTATTTGTCTCTAATCAAATTTATCGATTTGCAAATGGGTCAATATTAAAATGGTTGAGCAATTTAATCACTTTTAAATTACATGCTAATTTAACAATTAAACTTATATATACGCACTAATCAGTAATCATTTGATAAAATGATTAGTATTTATTGTTACCATTGTGTGTGTGTGTGTTAACTGTTACTAAATCGTTACCCTTGGTATTACATGATGATGAACAATATTAGATGATTTTTTTTTACCTTAATTGTGATAATTGTGTTTCAGATTAATTTAGTTACGCTTATTGTTAATACTTGGTTAGTTTAAATTACTTCCCTACTAATGGTCCCTATTATTATTTTCAATATGACCATTAAACTTTGATTGTTCAACTTTAACAGTTAAATAAGTTAACTGATCAGGTCAATTTCATAGTTAATCACAATTAACTATTAAATACAATCCTAATCAAATTTGATGATGTAAACTTTAATTTCTGTTCAAATTTAAATCTATGATATATTATAACAACAAAAAAGTGAAAATGTTAATTTTAATTTCTACCACCAATCAATTAATTGGTTTGAATTATTTTCTCATCTTCAGAAATGAAAACATGATGATTATCATCATCATCATCGTGATTTTTATTGATTGTTGTATGAGTTAACAATGAAACCGAATCATAAAAATTAAATTATTAATAATAATCTAATTCATAATTAGTGATGATGATCAAAGTTGTGAACGAAAAAAAAAATCCGATTTAAACTCCCATTATAATTTGAACTAAATTTCAATTTATTGTTGTTATTGATTGCGAATTGAATTTTAATCATGATGTCAATCAATAAATTATTTTTCTTAACTTTAATCGTAACAATAATCATTGACCAACAGTTTCATTTGCTATTGTAAATTAAACTTAAATTGTTGATGAAAAATTAACTCTCCAAATCTATAAATAGTTAATCAAAAAATGAAGTAAAAAGTTTTTACTTTTATCCTCATTTATTCAAACAATTTGATTCCTTTACTTTCACATCAAAATTGTCAATCATGTTGATGATGATTTTCAGTTGATTGTAAATTGATAATAATCAACAATCATGATTTCAATAGTTAAACATATCTAAAAGTTTCCAATGTTGAACCTGAAAAAAAATGTTCCTTCAACTTTAATCAACTGTCATTCACCAAGGTAATTAGATTTAATTCAGTTAGTTGTTATCAATTGTTATCGTAATTGTTATGGTGATGGCGGCGGCGGCGGTGCTGATGGTGGTGGTGGTGGTTCATTTTGTGGTGGATAAAATTGAGAGTGGGTTCGGGAAAAGTTACTACGATGATGATTATCGCATATTAATTTATGATTAAATTACAACAATTTAAATGGATTGTTATTGTTGGTTAAACATGAATTTATATGGTATTTTCAACAATCATCTCTTAATTGTTGTTAATCATTTCAAAATGGTTGCAAAAGTTTAATGATCTCACCGAGTCCAGTATTCTGAGTGTAGGTTGACCATTTATATTAATAGTTTTTTTACTTTCCTGACCACAATCAACTTGATTACTTGATTAAATCCACTGAATTTGTCTCATGATTATAATCAATTGATTATGACTTGGTTATTATCATTTAGGGAAACAATGAAATCTTTTTATGTGAAATTGACTTGATAACAATTTAACTACTTGATTGTTGATTACTGGTTCAATTCTGTCATGGTTTTGATCACCTTAAATGTAACTAATGATTATTATCAAATGATGATGTTGATAATTAACAAGTACATTCAATGGTCATCATACAATCAATCTGGACTTGGAAGCAATTTAAATTGCTACTGTTGATAAAATCCCTTATAATCAAATGTTACCTACGCATTTAGGATTTGAGATGATGATGATGATGATGATGATGAAAGATTAAGTTAATCATTGATTTATTTATAATCTTAATCAAATGTTTAATATGATTTCAAACTTATTTCAATTATTGTTCATGTTTACCTGGTGATAGATTGAAAAGTTTTATTTATTACCTTTATTTTTTTACCGTTATTTTGACATATAACATGTCAAGGTTGATTATGATTATTATGATTTATGTTGGTTGACCTGTAAATTGATTGTTACACTTTTACACCTTTTAACTAGTTTAAATTGTTGTCAACAATTTAAAAATAGCTAAGCAATCAATATATTACAACCATTGGTTTGATTAGTGTTTTTTTTTGTTATTAAATTGAATTAATATCTTAATTTTTAACTTTCTAAATCTCAAATGGTTACTGACATATTACCCACTGTGAGTGTGTATTTTTGTTAATCATTATAATTCACTGCTTGATTGTCACAATCTAATCATAGCAATCAGTTGATTTTAAGGATTATAATAAAGATTTATGTTATCGTTACATTTAAAATTAGTATTAAATTGTGATGGTAGTTTTTTGCCCTTTATCCTTAATTGTCATTAGTTAATTTCTGTCAACTCTTCAGGCCTTGAAATATTATCTGTACACTTTAATTATTGACCTTAAAATGTATTCATGCTTAATTACTGCCGTTGTTTTTTGTAATAAGTTAATTTAATTTCAAGAATTAATATTTACTGAATTAGATGATTGTTGATGATTAAGATGATGATTGTGCTTATACATTTACATGCATCCTTTTAATGATGATGATCATTGTTAAGACATTTAAGAGAGTTACCTGAGCTTGTGTTAATTATTTTCTCAATATTTAATTTGTTAATCAGAGCAGTTGAAGAGATCATTACCTTTTTTTTAACTCTTATGATGATGGTCATTATTTTAATTAACTTGATGATAATCCTTGACCTGATCTTATAAATACATATATCAATAATAATAATGTGTAACTGTGGTCAGTATCATATTACCGGATGTGATTACAAAAAAAAGAGTTGGTCAGTTTACCTTGTAAATGTTTTTTTTAATACAGTCTATTAGGATTATATGGCCAGGTTAACATGATCAATATTCATTAGTTAATTAGCTTTTTGAATTATTGATCAACAATCAGTTAATCTCTTTCACCTTGATTGTTGTAACTTCTTACTTTTAATAATGAAAAAAAAAGTTACTATGTCGCCGTGTCACCTTAATCCAAGTGTAAACATTTTACCTGACAATTTAATGGACTATTGAGATAATAGGATGACGATGATGATGATGATGATGATGATGATGATATCCTTGATTGACAAAATTAAAGACCATGTACAAAGATTGGCCAAATTTAATCTCATGGACAAAGTGATGAGGATGGAAAGATGAGATTGGAGAGAGAGAGAGAAAGAGAGATGAAAAAAAATCTACCAAAGGTGATAAAAAATAAGCAACTGATGTGAAAATGATGAGGATGAAGATGAAGATGAAGGTGTATATAAGATGATGATGGTGGATGACAATTGATAAAACGATTTATAATCTTGAGAAACCCACCGAGGTTTTTGGAGGTGGAAATTTTTTCCTCTCCATCAAGATCTCACCTACTAATCTCTCAGCAAGAGAGACCAAGCATCTCATGTTTATTTTCAATTGAAAATTATTATTATCTTTAATATCTGTCCCTTGGTAAATGATAATAATGATAAAATTACCTGTGATTATCATCATCATCATTATCTTCATCAACTGGACTCATTTCAGCGTATAAATTTGCCCCAGAATCTGAGTAAATAATAATAATAGGAAAAACTTATAATGTTGATTGTAATCGTTTCGCACCTATGGACACTTTAATTGTCATTTTAGTTGTTTACTATTTGGACTCACGATTTAAATTACGAAAAAAAAATATATTTATTTTTACGATTTTATCGTTGATTATTATAATCTAATTGTTTGTTTTTTTTTCGCTCTTTTCTTTTATAGCCAATCTGTCATTCGATTAAGGTGAAAAATTGTTTCAATCTATTGACTTCATATCAACACAATCAAATCTTGGAGGATAATGTTTGTGCTGTTCAATGTTCATTTGCCATGAAAGTTGCCAAACTTTCTTAAATTAGTTTGCTCCAGATTATCATCATCATCATCATCAGCATCATTTGCATCATCTCTCTCACTCTTATCCAGATGATGAAAGAGAGAGAGAGGGAAAGATGAGGATATTAATGGACCTTTGGATTATCCAGATAACTGTAATCCTAAACCACTTCATACTCATTTAAAGTTATCACTTGAAATCTTGACAGTATCTTGCCTTTAACAACTATTTGCACCACTATCATTATCATTATCATCATCATCATCATCATCATCATCCACTATGATTAACAATCACCACCGTCAGTACATATGCAGTATCTCATCATCATCATTGCCATCATCACCTTATCATCATCATGATGATGTTTGCATGTCTCATGTCAACAAAAATTTACCTGTTTCCCTCCTCATGTATTACCAATGATAGAGGATGAAGAAAAAAATTACTTAATTATATTGAGACTGATTTTCACCTTTATCCTCATCTTAATCATTATTGTCATCTAATTATATCAATTACATATTCACCTCTCATCACCATATCTAAGGGCCTCTTCTTTTAATATTATTACATTATCAAGAGACCGTTTATCTTAATTATCATCATCATTATCGAAACTGCCAAAAAAAAGCAAGGATTGATTACTCACAATCAATGACAATCTATTGTTTATTGTTTAAATATCTTTGATTACTTTGTCTACTGTCAACAATTAACTTGATCTGGATTTGGATGGTGGTGTTGATTGTTAGGCCCAAGGAGATAATCAAGTTTATCACTACAAGAGAAACGAATTATGAATTAGATTTAATTTCAATACAATTAACTGAACAATCAAAGATGCAACAACAAAAAAATCAAACTTAATCAGATAAACACACTTGTTAATTTGATCAACAATTAGTTTAAGTATGGTAATCATAATTAACTAAATTGTATTATATGATTAATATGAAATTAAGATTGAATAAAAAGCAGAAAATAAAACTCACAATTAAAATCATCTTAATCATCTTGATTTTTATCATGAAAAGGTTAATAGTAAATGTGACCAGTTAATTGTTATTAATTTGGGAACAAAAATTAAGGGTTAACAGAGCTTGATTGTTGGCTGATTGTTAACAATTTAACTTCTAGTTTGAAGAGGTCATTGACAATTAACTGTCAGTTTTGTTTTTCTGTCAAAAAATTAACTCAATTAATTGTCCGGGTGAAAAAATTTCCAACAATTAAACAAGTTGAGGTAACAATTAACCACCAAAGTTAATCAAGTAACTTTATTCAAAACTAATTCACCTCTAAGTTAATTTTTATTAATAAAAGCACCAACAATTAAGCTCATTGATTAACCATCACTGGTTATTAACAATTAAATTCAATGTTGTTATTTTTAATCATTACAATCTTACAATGAAATCTAATTAACTTGGTTAGTTAATTGTTTCCATTTTGTATCAGAAAATATTATCAACTAATTATATTAGGGTGTTCGGGAGATAGCGCGCCTCGTGTTGAAAGAAGAAAATAGAAAATTATTTTTTACGTTTTTACGAGAGAATAGACTCTTCTTATTCGAAAAAACAGCAAAAGAAATTTTAAAACTCAACGAGTTTTTTATGGGCTGCTTCAACAATATGAATGACGATTTTGTGCTCATTTTCGCTTTTGAATGAAATATTTCTGGTTTGAGCTTATACTTGCAAGTTTTTATAGTTTGAATAGAATTTTCTATCATTAATGAACAAACTTGGCCACTTAGAAAAGATTTTTTCCTCATTTTGTGCTAATGGGTTGAGGTCAAAGTTCGAGGGGGGAGGATCAATGTATAGGCCATTAGGATTTCATTTCGTAACTTATTTGTTTGCCCTTTCTATGAACCACATTGGTCTCAAATTATAAAAAGAGAGTGTAAGGTTTATAAATAATTAAGTTTTAGGTTATTTTTGAAGAAAATTGGAGCTAACAGGCAAAAAATTCTCAAAATTGGACATTTCACATATAACTCGAGAAAATTTGAGTAAAAATCTGAACACACAATATTTTGATAGCTGAATAGGTAGCTAGTAAGCCGATAAACTCAGTGTTAAAATTTCTGGAATGAGATTTTTTTCTGTAAATTTCTATGAACATTTCCATGAAAGTCACCATTTAAGGACTCAAGAATTTTCGCTGACGAAACCTGGGAAAAATTTAATATCTCAATAAATACTTACTCAATCCTTCCGAATTTTTCTAATAGTTATCAGTAATAATGTAGCTACAATTAAGCTGAATATAAAATATTTACCTCGAAGAGAAGTATGTGAGGCGCGCTATCTCCCGAACACCCTAATAATTATGATAATTTAACATTTTCTACATGTAGTTAATTAGTTACAATCAACAAATTGTTAGCAGTAGTTAAGATAATCAAAAGGCCTCTAGTGATTAACTGAACAACAAACTGGTTCTATTAATTGTTGTGAATTAATAAATTAAATCAACTTTCAATTGAGAATCTTTAAGTTAATTGTGAACAATGTTTCTATTAATTTTGATTAAACAATTAACTTTTTCTTAGATTGTATTGAAAAGTATAATCATCTTGATGATTAACTTTAATGAGATTACAATTAAATCAATGAAAGTTAATCATTTTCATTTTCAATAATTAAAAAACAGTTAATTGTAATCAACTTAAACTAAATTAAAGTTAATTGTGATGAGTAACATGTGTAAATTTGTATTCATTTTAAATGAGTTTATTTAATAGGAAACTTGATTAATCAACAAATGAGTTAATCAACCTTTCAGTTAATTGTTGCCCTTGAAAATTAAAGTTCACAATTAAATAATCATTATCACTATTATGTAGACAAGAAAATTAAAATAACCAATTAGCATAATGGCAACAATTAACTAACAAATGGTTAGTAATTAAAATGATAGAAAAAAGTTTTTTTTTCTGTTAATTGTTTAGTAATTAATTCATCTTGATCTAATATATAATATGATGAAATGATAACCTTGATTTGCGAAATTAAAATTAAACGTTAATCATTAGTAATTAAGAAATGAATGAAAATATGATTTAGTTAATCATCTTGGGGATTTTTGCTGATTACAATGATATCAAACAATTTAATCAACTTACTATTATGATTTACTAACCACGAGCTTTGTTTGTTATTGTTGTTGTTTGAACAATTAACTCGCTCGGTCAATCAAGCAATCAACTAATTGCTACTTGATTAAGAGCGGATATCCTGTTAACCACGAGAACCTCAGGTAAACAATTTACTTTAAATATCGACAATCAAATTGGTGACACCAACAATTAAAAACTTTGGAAAGAGAGAGAAAAAAAATCTTTATATTTAACTTAATCAACTATTGGAATTAAATTGTTGTGGCTGGTTAATAGTTGAATCAAATTCAATGACAATTAATTGTCTCAAATTAGTATTACAATTATTACCAATAAATATGATACAATTTACCGTTAATTGTAATAAATTAACTGGTTAATTATTATTACAATTAACTGATTGGCTTTTCCCAACCTCCAAACTAATCAATTCAAGATCAAAATCTTTTTAATCACAATTAAATTTAATTTTCTCAATACTTTCCGAGAGAATTGAATAAAAATCTTATTAATAATGATGCAACAATTAATCGTTAATTAATCAATTGTAAACTAATCAAGATGAGGAAATAACAACAATTTGATTTTTGGGTTAAAAACAAAATTGAAATAACAATTTTCTCACAATTAACTAAATCATTGTAATCGTAATAAATTAAAATGGAACCAAATTTAATAGTAAATCATAAAAACAGTAACTAGATTCAATTGTTAATCAAATTAACGCTATTTAGTAATTTTTTGAGTAAAGAATCAAAAAAAAAACATCAACCCTAATCATGGTCATTAATTAAATCAATGAAGCTTTCAAATGATCATTAAATGCTCAATGTAATCAAATTAATGGTCAATTGAGTTTGTTATTGAGATGACCAATGATTTAAATCACGAGTGGACCAATTAATTAGGTTCGGGTTACGATTCAATTGATTTTCCTGATCATCCCAAGCGTTTAATTTTTGATTGTCCACACGATTAAGAAAGAGAGAGTTGGATTAATTGTTGGAACAATTGATCAACTTCCTTAATTGTTGATTCTTCTTCTTGTATTCTCTTGATGAATTTTTTTTTTCTTCTAATATTTGATTCTAATTGTTGTCTATTTATTATTGTCTTTGAGCTTTTGTTAACCACTTTCAATTGCTCATGATTTGCTTGAGTAATTCATTCATTAGCTGAACAATTTATATATATAATTAGTTAACCTTCACTTTCGTAAGAAACTTTTTTTTTATTAATCAACTATCGTTTTCACTTTTACCTGTTGATTATATTTCACTCCCACTTTGTCACTCTCTCCCTGTCTCTCTCTCTCTCTCAAAGTGTCTCACATAATTTGTGAATATGATAGAGTAACAATTTATCTAATTGTTTGAAACTCTTAATGATTGTTGGTGTGAATATAAAACTTATTAGTTAAATTGTGTGACAGAATATTAGTTTTGACAAATAGATTGAAGAAATCACATCAATCGTTATTACCATTGGTCATCGAAAGTTTTGATTGTCCAGTTAAAGTTAATCATCAATCAATTGATTGATTGTGTAAATCCAATGGTCTTCCAGTGAGAAAAATTATTTGGATAATTGTTCGTCATCATCTTTGAGGTATCATCATGGATTACATGGTGTTCTTGTCGCTTTTATTTTCTATCATCATCTCATCTTCATCGTGCTATTCAACGGCAACAACTACAATTAAATCAATTCCATTGAAACCAGTGACAACTCCAGCGACCATAATGAAGACATTAACGACTACAGGTAAATCGGTGAAAGAGAAAACCTCGAAATCATCAAATATCTTTGATATTATATCGTCAACAACAACACCATTGCCAAGACAATCAGTTGATTCATTTAGAGATGGAAATTCATCGAAATCGATCAACAATCAATCGCGAAAATTTACCAAACAATCAAATGAAACAAAGGAAATTCTATCTGGTCAAGAACAAGCCCAAAGTCCATTCATCAGGGGAAGAGGTAAAACAATTAACTAATTAATCGAAATTCTAATAAAATCCTAATAGAAATTAGTAAAAGAACAATTTAAGAGATGATTTTTTCTCGATTTCGAACCAAACTAATCAATGTTCAAGTATCGATAGTCTCTTGTTCATTGATTGATGTTTTCTAATTGTTTTGACTTTTTTTTTCGTGATTTAATTGCCTTTTCTTACAATTAGGTCGACCCAACGGATTCCAACCGACACTTGGACCTAATGTGACACCAAATTACAATCCAAATTATGGTGTTCCATTCAATTCTTTTCTCCCTCAGGGAATACCCTTCGGTGGATCTCCTTCTGGTTCACCCAATGGATTGAATAATAATCTCAGGCCTGGAGGTGGTTACGGAATTGGTGGACCTCAAGGTCAACTTGGTAACAATCAACAAGGACAAGGACAATTGTCAAGTCCATTGGATTTACTGTCCGGTTTCATTCCTACCCCTGGACCTGGAGGTAATTAATTTCTCCTTACAAGTAATACAAATCAAATCAAATCCAATCAATTCTGATTCACATGAAGATTAACAATTATATGGATCATATGGAAAGTGATCTTTCCAGACAATTTAGCTAATTGTTCTCAATTGATTAACCTTGTTGACCCCCTACACAAGTTAAATCAAATTACTTTAATTAATTTGTTGACTCATATTCTAAAAGGTTAATTAAGATTTTAACTGTCTCAATGAAAGAAATTAATTTATTCCGTTTCTTACCAATTACATGTCACATCCAATTTTGGTAAACTTGATCTACAATTGATCAACATTCATTCAAATCAATTGAATTACAATCAATCTTTCAGGTATCCATTTATTACATCACATAAATTGGACTTTTAATTGTTAATTAGTCTCTTTTTTTTCAATTATCCTTCATTGGAAAGTCAATAGTTGACAATATTTAATAATTAGCAACTTCGTCCGATTGTGTTGAGTAAATTAGTAAACAAAGAGTAACAACTTTTTCCACTTATAATATAAGATTGTGAACCTTTTTTCTTGTTAATCATTTAACTTAATTGTAATTTAAGTTAACTAACTAACTAAAATTATCTTTTTTTTTCATTCATATAAATACAACGAACCTTGAAAAGCAAAGGTAAACTTTTTTTTTCTCCAACAATCAAGTTGAAGTTTTTTTTTTCTCTTCTACCATAATCAAAGTATATGTTCAGTAATAATTTGGTTTCTCATTTAGAAAACGGAAGTTACATATTATACAATTTTAATCTTTTGATTACTATAACAATTAATGGTTACAGTTGCTTCTTTAATGTCATGTTAATGTTTGTTAATTGCATATGAAGAAGAAGCAAAAAAAATAATATATATCATTTCATGTTTGTTGCACTTTTTGTTTTTATTTTCAGGGTCACCATACACAGGAACACCAACTCCATTCGGTCAACCGGTTACCGGTTATCCTGGTTATCCAAATTATCCTGGTGTTAACCCAAATTATGGACCAGTGAATACTCCTGGATTAGCAAATGGATTAAATAATCTTAATGGACAGAATATTGGATTTGGAGCGAGAAGAGGGGGTGGTAACAATGTTAATGGTTATAATCAATTGGGTGGTGGGATTGGATCACCGGATGTTGCAGGATTGGGTATAAATCCAGGGTATAATGATGGTCAAGGTGGTGGATTAGGTGGAGGTGGAGGAGGAGGAGAGGGTCCTGTTGGTGGTGAGAGTGGTGAAGATGAAGGTGTCAATGATAATGGTTCTAATGAGGAAACAAATGATGGTACTGGTGAGGGTGATGGCGAAGGGGCTTCTGGTAATAATGAGAATGGTCAAGATGAATCAGTTCAACCCGATTATGGTGGAACAGGTAATGAAGGTGGTGATACTGGCGCTGAAGATGGAACCGCTGATAATGGAGCTGGAAACGGAGGTGAGAGTGGTGGTGATCCTGCTAATGATCCCGATTTAGCTTCTTTTCAAAATTTTCAAAACTCTAATTTTCCCGGTGATTTATTTCCACCAGGTATTTTAAGTCAACAAGATTTGAATGATATTCAAAAGTCAATTGAAGAGCAGCAGAAAAAGGAAGCGGAAAAAAACAAGAAACAAGAAGAATCTTCAGCTCAACCTGATTACGATTATGATAACAATTCTGGTGGAAATGCTGATGAAGATCAACCATCAACTGAGACTCCGGTAAATAAGAATTTACAAAAGTACAACAACAATCAACCAGTGGTTCCAAACTATCAAAACAACCGTTACAATCAACAACAACAACAACCAGTAACAAGTAACGGTAATCGTGGTGCTTATGCTAATAATAATCGTCGATTACCTCAAGTTAACAAATATAACAACAACAACAATCAACGTAAACAAATTGATCAACAATATGTTAATAATAACCAACGTAAACCAAATCGTTACGATCAACCGACTAGAAATAATCAAGAAAATCAATTTGACGATAACATTGGTTACAATGCAAATAATAATGTCGGTGATACTGGTGGAAAAGATTACGATTATAATGATAATGGTTCGGGTGAAAGTGGCCTGAATCAGAATCAAGATTCTCGGCGTCTTCGTGGGGATTCACCACCATCGCCTACTCCTCGATATAATCGCTATCGAAATGGTGCATATTCATCTCCAGATGAATCAACTGATTATGATTCTAATGGTGAACAACCTTCTCGATATTCTAAAGGACAAACAACACCTTCGTATCCACGAGGTTCTAATTTAAATCGATTCAATGATCAGTCAGGTCGATATCGACCAGGATCATTTGGACGTTCAGGTTATCGAGGTGAAGATTTAAAAGATTTCGGTGGACATTCAGCTAATTCTGATCGTCAGAATGATGTTGAACCGGGTGTTGATTATACACCAGATCCAATTTATGACTCGAAGCAAAATACTAGAAAACAAGATAATCACCATCGATCTCATAACAATCATAATAATCGGCAAATTGCTGGACAAATGAACAATCTAAATAATAGGAATCGTTTCAATGGAGTGAAACCTTCCGTTGATTATGATGGAGAGACTCGTAATTATCAAGGTAATTTGCATGGTTAATAAACGAATACCTTGTTAATTGTTGAGATTCTAAAATCTATCTGATCCCTGAAGAAATTTGCTAATTGTTTGATTGTCAAACTCTCTCCAAACTATAAGGATTCTAATTCACCTTATCCCAATTTACTAATAACTGATTAACATTTAACTTGATCAATTTTCTTTTTCTCTTAAATTATCAATTGATAATCAAACTAATCAAATATTGTGCATATACTTGGACCAGGATCAACAAGGAGACCTAGATTAGTATCAAATCAATACGATTTACCATTACAATCAACAATTAATAACAATAATAATCATAGATCATCATCAACATTAGGATATATTGATAATCCATTGATTTCAAATCGTAAGAAAAAAGCAAATCAATTTAAAGGATATGATTCAAGTGAAGTTGATTATATCGGAGGAAAAGAGGATGACAACAATCAAGCAATTAAATCAATGGGTAACATGAGAAATCACAATCAAGGAAATTATGTCAATTTATCACAATCAGATTATAATCAAGATGGAAATGATTCTTCAAGTGATTCTAATGATTCTAATTATCATGAAACACCTCGATTCGTTGCTTCTGAGAAAAAGGAAGCCAAAAGTTCATCAACAATTAACAAGAAACAAAATGACCCCTTTTTGAGAGGATAATCTTAATTATCTTGTTAATCATATTGTAATTAGCATCATACTTTTAATATTTACCTTGTATCATCATTTAATATTTCATCATATTGTTCAGTGCACAAAATATAACAAAACCATAACATTAACTTAATTAATTTTTTCCAATCAAAACCAATTGAAATGATTTACTTATCAAATCAATTTCTCTTCTTAATTGTAACAATTTAATTGTTTCTCTCTCTCTCTCTATGTATGTTAATCTCTGTCTGAACTTGATCATAATCATTTGATTGATTTTGTTTTTCTGTATGAATGTAAACAATTAGAAGGCCAGACTAATTGTTAACCTCAATGGATTCACAATTAACTAACCAATTTATTCAAATTTCACCTTAAATCCACTGGTAACAAGTTCCAATCAAGCTGATTATCTTCTTGATAGAGATGATGATAAGGATGAAGATGAAGATGAAGATGAAGATGAAAACAAGGAAGTAGACATGAAAGTCTTTTCCTGTTTTCTAATAACAATCTTAGTCTTTTAATAGCATTTGTTTACTTTTTTTTTCGGAGGTGGAAAAAAAAGTTCTGAATGAGATTCAGTTCCTACCTGATGATTAGACCACGAGGATAATAATCAAAACCGTTCATTGTCCTAATCAATGATGATAATAAATTGATTGATGATAATAATCAGGTAACTTTATATATCCCAATTGAACTTAACCCTTGACAATCAATGAGGATTTTTTTTTCTTGATTCCAAATTTTCTGATTTCGATTCATGATTATAATTATCAGGAAAATTTCAAGACTGTCATCAGGAAGTTCATTTTTTAATCATCACCATGAATCTATTGATAAACTTACAATCAACTAATTGTTATCATCATTGGAATTCAGTGTTAAAGAAAAGTTAAAAAAGAGAGAGAGATAAATAAATAAAATGTTTATTTTTTTTCTTCTTCTTGATTTTCTTGAACATGATTCAAATTCTGGTGATGATTTCATGGTGATGATTGTTTTTATTTCTGATCAAATCATCCAAGGTTAATTGAGGCTAATCGTTAATTTTAAACTCACATTGATGGTCATTAATTTAATTTAATTGTAAACATTAAGAATTGTATTGTAAATAGAAAAGAGAGAAAATTTTCTCAAGGTAATGAAAAAATATCTTTTTATTTTCTCTTCTACCTGAATATTAATAATCCACCATGATGATGATGATGATGATAATTCTGTGTTAATAACTTGTTTATCTGATGTGTCATTGACTTTTGATTGATTCAAGAAAACAGGTTACCCGGTGGGGGAAGATGATAATCTCATCATGATCACTTAAATATGGATAATGAAAAAGTTAAAATTTCCAATAAAAATTGACGATGATGATTAAACTTCGTGATTGATGAAAAATTGAGAAGAAAAAGTTTTTCTACTTACTGGTCATCATTTCCGTTTCCGTTTCCTTTACAATATTAAGCTACATCATCAAACTTTTTGTAAACCTTTTCATTTTTCATACTTTATGGTCACTTACATGATTTGACCTCTAACCCCTTAGACGATAAATTTTCATTTCTTCCTTATCCTCATCATCTGCTCATCATCCTCATCAGTCCTCTCTCTCTCTCTCTCTCTCTCAGTTCACTTGCCCTTTTCTTCATGAATATGAAGGTGAAGAGGGATGAAAATGATGATGATGATGAGTAGGATGAAGATGAAGATGAAGATGAAGTTCACTTGAAAGAAACAAAAAGATTGTTTCAACTTTTCTTTCAATCGGAATTTTTTTCTTCCTGTTCTATGTTCAGTCTGAACATGAAGTAACCAAATCTCGTTACACCGGTCATCATCTCTTCCCTTTCATCTTCTTCTCTCTCTCTCTCTCACTAAATGATCATCATTATCATCCTTCCCATTTTCCGAACCTTCACATTTTCATCATGATCAATTCTCTCTCTTTATTTTTTTTCACCTTCAATTCTTTGTGACACTTTGATTAGAATCTGTTTTCACCGGTCAATCTCATCTTCCATTCATTTACTTCCGAATCCTGATTATCTTCATCATCTCTAAAATCATTTGACCTTTACAACTTTCAATTTTACTTTTCAATTCAATTCTCAAATTAACTTCATCATCGTTAATTGTTTAGTTAATTACTTAATTCTCAAGCGGAGGCTTTTAATTAAACGTAAAATAATGACCATTGTTATATTCAAATTGCTTGACCATTAAAACTCAAAACTAATTATTCATTTTCCCAATAATTTACCTTGACAATTAACTGATTCTCCTCAAAATCATATTGATCAATTATCTATAACCCTGATCACTATTAACTAATCACCATTACTAATGAACGGTAAACAAAATTGCAACAATTAATTGTTATTAACTGTAAACAAAAATGAAGAAACTTTTAAAAGATTAATTTAATTTTCACCAACCTTGAGAGTCTAATATCGGCCAACAATTAGTAACTAAATCAAGATTGATTAAGATTTTATTTTTTAGCCACTAATCATTTGGTAAACAATTTAACCTACAACCTTAACCCAACAATTAAAATTAACTAATAACACCACCAAACAATCAGAACTGATTGATTAATATGATTTTGATTGGGAGAAAATTTTTTACCAATCTACAATTAATATAATCGTTTAATCATAATCAACTCAATCACATTGATTAACTGATTTTTTTTGTTCATTTCTCAATCTCTTGATTATGATTATCATTTACTAAATCATTTCACTAATCGTGATTATTTCATTTATTAGGTCAATCAACAATCACAATCAATTGTAACCTTTAATCATCTCAATACCTTGTTGTAACAATCAAGAATATCAATGATTTTCATTATCATCAATTTAGTTGATTAAGTTAATTTAATAAAGATATAGTTTAAATTAGATTTGATTAAATTGTTATTAACCTTGAGCTTAATTGTTTCATCGAGTTGATAATAATAATATCATTATTATTACAAAGGAAAAAGTTAATTGTTTAACTTTGTTCCTGTGCCTCTAATGATCAAATTAAATTGGCAAGTTAATTGTTACTCTGCTAATTGTTCAAGTTAATTGTAATTCAACGGTGATAATAGGGTTAAGTTAATTTTAATCATAGGATTATTATTGTTACTCTAAGTAATCAAGTTTGTTACTTTAAATTGTTGATTAATTTAATGTGATGATGATCATTATTATGATTACCTTGATGATTGAGCTAATCTTCAAGGTTTAAATTGTCTGTAATCATAATTAACTGCAACAATTTAAGATCCCATAGATCATTTAACCTTCAATTTAGTTTTGTCGTATTAATTTAAAGATCAGATTTAATTTATTTTCCTTTATTTCATGAAAACAACACTCAAGTAAATGATGATGAATTAGTAATTAATGACAGACAATTTGTTGAAACAATTAACACAAATTCATTTCAATCAATTGAAACAACAATTAAGTTAACAACGATTTAAGATAAAACCTTTTCGTCAGGACGAAAACATAGAAAAACTTTCATCTCTCTCTCTCAATTTCTCTCTGAATGATTGATTGGAATCAACAACAATTCTGATTTTAAATTGTTCAGTAGAGATGAAGAAAAAAAGTTCAGGGAAATTCCCATAGGTTAACATGATGATAATTGAAGCATCGTGGGAGTTTAAATGACAATCAAACACTGAGATTAACAGGTAAAGTCTATGGACAGAAATGTTGATTCGTTGATCAATCAAAATGTTCAATTGAATGTTAAAAGAGGAGGTTGATGATTATGATGATGAAAATGAAGATAAAGGTAAATAAATTGATGAGAAGAACCAAATGAAGCTCAGAATTTTTTTTTCTTCTTCTTTATTACAAAGATGATGAAAAAAAATGATCTTCTATTTCAAGAATTACCTGTAAAAATGTTCACCATAGGTAAGAAAAGGTGAGTAAAAATAATGGAGAAAAATAATTTTTTTTTTCTTCAACAAAAAGTTTTTTCATCTTTCGTTTTCAATCAATGACAAAGATAAATCTCATTTGTGAAGGTCATCGTTTAAGATTAACTATTATTATCTTGACCACATAGATGATGATGTGATTTCCCATCATCATCATCATCATCATCTCCATGATTAACTTGGAAAACAGCCTTAAGGTAAATATCTAATTTCAATCTTTTCTTTAATCTCAACAGATTAAAGTTTTTGATTTTTCTCCATGTTAATCCATTCATGTAATGAACATTTCGTTACTTTTTTTCAGACTCGAAATCTCTGATTACGCTACGATATCGAAATTGGTTCGAAACAAGTTCGAGGACAGAAATGTTCTAAAAAGTTCTGTCAATCGGTAAGAGTTAATTGTTCGAAACAATTAAACTTTTAATTGTTCGGGTACAATTAACTTTGGATTAGAAAATTTTCCTCTCTAAGATTAACATTGGTTCTCATCACTTAATCCAGATAAGGCTAATCGTTACATTGATAATCTTAATTGCTCATTGATCAAAGACTTAAGTAAAAACAGCAATTTAATCATCGTGGTTAATCATCATTAATTGTAGTTAATTATACCTGTATAGTTAAAAATTGAAAGTGAATTTAGTTTATAATCTAAAGCATCAATTTGATTAATGGTAAATTGTTCAAATTTACTGGAAATTTCAATAACAAAATTAAATATGATCAGTGTTTAAACAATTGAATGAGTTAATTCAGTTGAATCAAATTGATTTAACCAGTAAACAATTTAAATAAATGATTAATATTCATATAAACGTACACACACAATTATTAAATTGTTGGTTAATATCAGTTCCTATTAATCAATCCAAGTGTACAAATCAATTATATAAAATTTAACCACATAAATAAAGGATTAAAATTGGACAATTAATTAATTGTTGAGAAAATGAGAAGAAAAAAAATAAAAGTAATCAAGCTTAATGATTATCGGTACCGGTCAATTAATCACTTGAAAGTTAATTGTTGTCCATATCAATCAAAACATTTCATGATTGTGATGGGTTTTCAGTTTCATTACACTTTCCCTTAACGAATGAGTGATTAGTTAATTGTTGTCACAATTAAAACAGAAAAGGTAAGAAATGTAATAGAAAGAGAGAGAAATTTTTTCCTAA